GACGGAGGAGGCGACGGGAGAAGGGGAGGACGAGACGCGTGGGAACGAAGCAACATAGGGTGGGAGCGCAAGACAGGCGAGGCAGGACGAGCACGGGAGGGACGGTGAGACCAGACGTGCGACGGAGGAGTCGGGTCAGGAGACAGAGGAGGGGACACAGGAGGGGAACGAGGGGGGAGACGGGCCGGGGACGAGTCCGGCGGAGGGAAGACAGGGCCGTAGACAGGAAGAGGAGGAGACGGTCGGAGAGGAACCGACGCAGGGTCGGGGGACGGAAGGCCGAGCAGGCGAAGGGCGGACACCGGCGGGGACTGCTGCTGCGGCGGCACAACGGCGACACCTGGACCGCAAGCTGCTCCTTGGCTACCACCGGCACTCTCCACACCAGCACCCCCAGAGGGACCACCCCCAGGGCTACCGGGACGAGCACCCCCAGAGTCAGCGATCGGGTGCTGCGACGGCGGCGGCGGCGGCGGCAGCGACAACGACGGCTGCAGCGGCGGCAGAGGCGGTGGAGGGGGGGACTGGGGAGGGGACGCCAGGGGAGGGGCGGCCGGCGAGGACTGAACAGGAGGGCCACCAGAGTCAGAAGACTCCTCAACCGGGTCCACCGACGGAAGGGGGGTGACGTCGGACACACCAGAGGGGGCGGGACGGGGAGGAGGAGGAGGAGGGGTAGGGACTACCGGGGAAGGAGTGACCAGGAACAGGGGGGGGGTAACCGGGGGACCACGGTGGGGGAAGCGACGGTAGTAGGAGACAGACTCGTCAAAGGTGACGTCACGAGAGTGAAAGAAGCGGTGAGACGGCGGGTGGTAAAAGTGCCAGTCGGACGCGTCAAGGGGAAAACCGAGGAAGACGCAGGGAAGGGTGCGGGCAGTGAGCTTGTCCGTGCCGGAGGCACGGACGTGAGCAAGGCAGCCCCAGACGTGGAACGCAGACGCGTCACCAGGAGACCCAGTCCAAAGACGGGTCGGCGAAACCTGCGGCTGCTGAGGGTGCGGCCACAAGTTAAGCTGGTGAGAAGCGTAGCGCACAGTGAACGGCCACAGAAAATGGGGTGCACCGGCATGGATCATGGAGGTGCGAGCCACCTCCATGACCAAACCGATGCGTCGCTCAGCGACCCCATTCTGCTGTGGGGAGTTCGGTAGGGTGAACGTCTGGGTGATGCCCTCCGCACGACAAAAGCGACCAAGGACACCTGAGGCAAACTCGCCACCACGGTCTGAGTGAAGACGCAAGACAGGGAGACCGCGGTGGACACGCGCAGAGACAAGCCAGGGGATGAGAGCGCCAGGCACGTCGGCCTTGCGCTCCAGGGGAAAGACTGTGGTGTAACGAGTGAAGTCGTCGACAAGCACAAGGAAGTAGTGCTCTCGACGCGGCCCAGGGACGGGGGCGGGGCCCCAGACGTCCAGGTGCAGGGTCTGCAGCGGCGCGGCGGTAGGGGGAAACGAGGAGGAGTGAGGGGCACGGCGAAGCCGACCCTCGACACAAGGCGTGCAAGGTGGGGCTGGGGAGGAGGGAAACGCGGGGAGGGAACCTGGGAGACCAAGGACAAGACCGTGCTGGGACATGTGACGCAGACGCGGGAGTGCAGGGTGACCTAGGCGGTGGTGCCAAAGGAGGGTCGGGTGAGTGAGGGACCGACAGGAGCAAGCAGCAGCAACCTGGGTGAACGCTTGAGCCGGGGGGGTCACGGTGTCCAGAGTGAATAGGCCGGACACCGGGTCCCGGGGGAACGTGGACAGGGGGGCACCAGTGGCGGCCTCGGTACAGACAGCATACCGCTCGTGACCAGGGAACGTAGTGGTGACACCAAGGTCCTGGAGGCAGCTGACACCAACTAGGTTCCTGGAGAACGAGGGGATATGCAGACTTGTGAGAGTGCCCGAAGGAACCGCCGGACAGGGAAGGGTGGTGGAACTGCGGGTGACTACCGGACCGCGGGAGGGGTCAGCAAGAGAAACGGCAGCAGGAACAGGAAGCGGCGTCAGGGTGGTGGAGTCGCGGAAGAAACACCGAGAAGCGCCAGAGTCCAAGGTGAAGGAAAGCGAAGCAGAGGCGTCTGGCGACGGAACGACGGCGGAAGCACCAAGACTACACAAAGCAGGGGATCCTACGCCTGACGCAGCAGGGGAGGCTAAGCTAGGCACACCTACACTAGGCAACAGTGAGTAATAAGTGGGAAGCACACTAGAGTCATCAGCATACATCACATGCAGAGCAGAAACAATGGCATCCATATCCATATCAAATATCTGAATCTTACGACTAAGCAAACTGTGCCAGTCCGGGAGGTCTGGCGACGGGCCGAAGCGCTGACGAAAGAGGTCGTCCAGGCGACGAAAACAGCGGGGAGTGGAGTGACCGATCTTACCGCAAACGAAGCCACGGCGAGGACCGGTCTGGATCTGGTACTGACAACGCTCGCCGCCAGAGCCACCACTCGGCACACCACCACGCGCCCGGCCACCGCCAGCGCCGGGCCACCCGGGCGGGAGGACACTCGTCTGCCGCGTCTGCGACGGCTGCTGCGGCTGCTGCGAAGGCTGCGACTGCGACGGCTGCTGCGGCTGCTGCAACTGCAGGGGCGGCGGCTCAGCTGGACTGGGCAGGGTCCCCTCGTCCGCTCCAACACCAGACGACCCGACCCCACCACTACCCCCTCCCGCACCCCCGCCTCCGCCTCCGCCGCGCCCAACCTTGGGGCGGCGGCCCTTCCCCGAACGAAACTGCGCTGCAGCAGCAGTCTCAGCCACTGCGGCAGAGCCGTCGGAGAAGGTACACTGGGCGGGGGCACAACCCTGAAAGATAGGGACTGGCACGACACCGCTCGCCTGGGCGATGGAGCGGTGACGGGTCTCTATCACAGTCAGGGTGTCTACAAAGTCAGTGAGGGTGAGGTCTGCGGGGTGAATGCTAAGGAAGCGGTCGCGGGCGACAGCAAGGCGGTCAGGGAGGCGGGTGGCAAGCAGGTAGAGGGTAGAGGTAATGGGCGGCTGGTGGGCTCTAAGCTGTGCATCAGTGCAGGCTGCGCGCCAGGTCTCATCTATCGAGCGCAGGTGGGCAGCGAGGTCAGAGACAGTGGGGAAAGATGCAAGGTCAGGAAAGAGCATCGGGAGGATCAGACGACCCACCGAGGCAGCCGGAGGGGTGGAATAGCGCTGGATGACAGCATCTAAGTATGACTGAGTAGTAGTGAGAGACCTAAAGCGAGGGCGCTCGGACGGGGGAAGGGCGTTGCTAATGGCAAGCTGGGCGACAGCATCGCGAGAAAGCCAGACAGAGCGCGCACGGGCAGTGGCAGCAGTGGACTCGCGCTCAGTGGGTGTGGAGTCAGCGGGCAGAATAGCAGGGGGGTCTGGGCAGGGGAGCGTACCGTCAAGGTGTGCGGAAAGCGGTTCACCATCCTGCCGCTGGCCAATGAGTTGGCGACGGAGGTCGGCAAGCCACGCCTCGAACTCCAGAGGCTGGCCTTCAGTGTCGAAGCGAAGCTCCGCCGCCATCAGAAACAGTGCAGTGCGGTGCAGGGCAGTGCAGCAAGGTGGAGTGCTGTGCCGTGCGGTATAGGGCGGTGCAGTGCGGTGCCAGGCAGTACCAGGTGGTGCGGGGCGGTGCAGTGCGGGGCAGTACGGTGCAGGGCAGTGCAGGGGGGGGGGGGGGGGGGGGGGGGGGGGGGGGGAGAACCGTACCAGTGAGGAGGACCGGGGCCGGGGCAGGGACGAGCGCAGGGGTCGGGCCGGTGCAACGGGGCCGGGCGGGTGCGACGGGGCCGGGCGGGCGCGACGGGGCCAGGCTGGTGCGACGGGGCCGGGCGGGTGCGTCGGGGCCGGGCTGGTGCGACGGGGCCGGGCGGTGCGACGGGGCCGGGCCGGTGCGACGGGGCCGGGTGAGCAGGACGGTGGCCCAGGAGGGGCGCACCGGGGCTGGGCGGGCACGACGGGGCCGGACGGGTGCGACGGGGCCGGGCGGCTGCGACGGGGCCGGGCAGGGGGCGACGGGGCCGGGCGGCTGCGACGGGGCCGGGCGGGCGTGACGGGGCCGGGCTGGTGCGACGGGGCCGGGCGGGTGCGACGGGGCCTGAAGGCGTAACGGGGCCCAGGAGGGGGCTCGACGCGGCCCAGGAGGGGCGCTACGGGGCCCAGGAGGGGCACGACGGGGGCCCAGGAGGGGCGCTACAGGGGCCCAGGAGGGGCGCGACGGGGCCCAGGAGGGGCGCTACGGAGCCCAGGAGGGGCGCGACGAGGCCCAGGAGGGGTGCTACGGGGCCTAGGATGGGCGCGACGGGGCCCAGGAGGGGCGCTACAGGGCCCAGGAAGGGCGCGACGGGGCCCAGGAGGGGCGCTACGGGGCCCAGGAGGGGTGCAACGAGGCCCAGGAGGGGCGCTACGGAGCCCAGGAGGGGCGCGACGAGGCCCAGGAGGGGCGCTACGGGGCCTAGGAGGGGCGCGACGGGGCCCAGGAGGGGCGCTACGGGGCCCAGGAGGGGCGCGACGGGGCCCAGGAGGGGCGCTACGGAGCCCAGGAGGGGCGCGACGGGGCCCAGGAGGGGCGCTACGGGGCCCAGGAGGGGCGCTACGGGGCCCAGGAAGGGGCGCGACGGGGCTAGGGGGGTCGCGACGGGGCTAGGGGCACGACGGGGCTAGGAGGTAGGGGGGCGAGCGGAAGCGGTAGGTGGGGGGGGGATCCTAACCTACGCGTGATACCATATCAGAATTAGAGAAGTGAATGATGGTAGAGTGAGAGTACACACAGATATACCTAAGTGTTGTACCCTCTAAGAGGCGACCCTATACAGTCTATACAAACATGACAAATACACATGTTTGACATTCCTACCGTTCCTACTAGCCTAGCTTTTGTGACAGTAACTGCTTATCTGACACTGGCATTCTCACCACTATACTTTATAACCTGCCTAGTGTACTGTAACCGCAAGGAAGCCACTCGATAACGGGTAGAAGGGTGACAAAATCAAGCTCTCAATGCTGGATAAGGCTATGCTGCCGTAGACCTTGCTCTTTCCACAAAACGAACACTTCTCTACATTGATTTCCATAAAAAGCCTATTATTTACCCGCACCTTCGGAATAAACATACCCGAAGGCAACATTCAGGTGGTACTAGACTGGAGCTCAGCTCACCTAGTCTTGAATTTATTTCGAATGCAGCCTTCGTCCCATTGCAGCATACACCCATGTTGCTGCTGAACTGAAATACAGAGGACCTTACTGATGTCATGTAATTCACTCTTTGCTTGTACGAACCAAACGACAATCTCTACAGCTCAGCTCAACACACGTAGAATCACGAAGCCACTGTAAACGCTGCTTTGATGCCGTTGTTGCAGTCATCACCCACGTTGCTGCTGAAATAGATTGTTTTGCCGATGTCCTTCACCCTCACTTTGACAGTGTAGAATCCATAGTAGCGGCCCCGGGCAAGTGGCTTAGCATTCAAAAACGTGCATGCAGTGTAGTCTGCAGCGTCTACTTTATGCACCGAGTGCAGCTCGTTCACCCACTGGAATACTGCAGGCAGGCAGGCAGGGAGAGGAGAGAAGGGAAAGGAGACAAGAGGGGGGAAAGGAGGCAAGAGAAGGGAAAGGAGACAAGAGGGGGGTGGTGAGGAAGGGAACAGTGTAGGAGGAGCAAGGATTTTATAGGTGCATCAAATGCAGTGCAGTCTGCAGCGTCTATTTTACGCTCGAGAGTAGCTTGTCCACCCACTGGAAGATTGTAGGCAGGCAGGCAGGGTGGGCGGCAGGGAGGAAGGATTCACGAGGGCGTTGTAAAGAGCCTCTTCCCAAGTCAGGCAGGGTGGCAGGGAGGCAGGGAGGCAGGGAGGCAGGGAGGCAGGGAGGCAGGGAGGCAGGGAGGCAGGGAGGCAGGGAGGCATGGAGGCAGGGAGGCAGGGAGGCAGGGAGGCAGGGAGGCAGGGAAGCAGGGAGGCAGGGAGGAAGGGTGGCAGGGAGGCAGGGAGGCAGGGAGGCAGAGAGGAAGGGTTAGGGCTACAGCCATTCAGCTACAGAGAGAAAGGCGCACGCACCTAGCAGGTCGGTAGGCAACACTTTCGGCACCTTCCAATTCTTGAGCCCACAGCCCTTCGGGCCTTCGCGGAGAGCTACCGTATCTGTTGCCGTTCAGCCCAGCCACCGTCACCACCACCACCCTCGCTCACTGCCCTGTGCCATGGCTTGCAATAGCACGGACACGTACCTACCTAGCAGGTCGTTCGGCAGCACTTTCGGCGCCTTCCAGTTCTTGAGCCCCTAGCCCCACGGGGAAACTTACCTGTTGCCGTTGCTACCTCCCACCCCGAGCACCCCTCTCATGCTGCACTAACTGACATGGGTTGCGTCAGCGCCAGCACGTACCTAGCAGGCCATTTGGCAGCACTTTCGGCGCCTTCCAGTTCTTGATTGAGCCCATATCCCCACGGGGATACTTACCTGTTGCCGTTGCTACCTCCCACCCCCGCGCACACCACCCTCTCTTTCTGCGCTGCCGTGTGGCATGCGTTGCATCAGCGCCAGCGCGCACCTAGCACGTCGTTGGGCAGCAATTTCGGCGCCTTCCAGTTCTGCAGCCCGTAGCCCCACGGGGAGATCCACCTGTTGCCGTTGCCGCCGCCCACCCACACCATTTTCTGTGAGGAGAGGGGAGAAAGCGGGAGACGATGAGGGAGGTTGGAAGAAGCAGGGAGGGGGAGGGAGCAGATGGAAAGGGAGGCAGTAAGAACCTGGCTCCTATTACGCGTTACACATGGGTTCAAGCATCGTGATTGCTTTTGAGTCGACTCAAAAGTAAGGGAGCGGATGGAAATGGAGCGGACGGAAAGGGAGCGGACGGAAAGGGAGAGGACGGAAAGGGAGAGGACGGAAAGGGAGCGGACGGAAAGGGAGCGGACGGAAAGGGAGCGGACGGAAAGGGAGCGGACGGAAAGGGAGCGGACGGAAAGGGAGCGGATGGACTGGGAGGCAGTAAGAACCCGGTGCCAATTATGCGTTATGCATGGGTTCAAGCATCGTGATTGCACTACGAGCAACGGACAGCGAGCACGGAGCGATGAGCTGCTAATGTAGCAGCAGTGTGCAGTGAAGTGAAGAGCAGTGCAGTGAGGTGCAGTGAAGTAAAGCGTAGTGCAGTGAGGTGCAGCGAAGTGAAGTGCAGTGAAGTGAGGTGCAGTGAGGTGCAGTGAGGTGAAGTGCAGTGAAGTGCAGTGCGGTGAAGTGCTTTCCAGTGCTGCTCGCGTTGCGTGGGTTGGATTGCTACACGTGACGGTACCTTGCTTCAGTTCCTATAGCGATGCCACGCGTTGCGCGTACAGCGACACTCGTACCTGAGCTTCCACTCCGCCTGATCGTTGGGCAGAGTGGACAAGCGGAGACCGTCAGCGCGAGGGCGGGGGGGGGAGGGGACGCGACGGGAGCGGAGAAGAGCGGGGGGGAGGAGGGGGGAGGGGGGAAGATGATGGGAGAGAGAGGGGGCGGGGGGAGGGGTAGTGGGGTGGGAGAGAATGTGAAAGGGGCGAGGGGATTGGAAGTGAGTTGACGACGTTGGGCGGAGGAGGGAGCGGAGAGAAACGGAGTAACGCATGAAGGGGTTTCTGGAGAGAAACGGTTTCTGGAGAGAACTGCGCCGCGTGGAGAGGGGGAGCGGCAGCGGGAGGGTAGCGCAGGGGGGAATCGCAGCAGTCCGAGTGGATAGGAGCCTGACGACGAAAGGACAGGGGCAGATCAGCGGAGCCGACAGCGGAAAACGCGGTGCACGTCGCGGAGGGTGTGAGAGGCAAGGAGGATGTGCGAAGAAAGGCGCAAGATGCGCGGAGAAAGGCGCAAGATGCGCGGAGAAAGGCGCAAGATGCGCGGAGAAAGCAGAGGGCGCGTACCGACGAGGAGTATGAGAGCGGCGAGGAGGAGAATCAGCGACTTTTGACACGCCATGGCCGGCTGAGAGAAAGAGCGTCGCGAGGCCGAGCGCGTCTCGAGGTGACGACGGTGTCGAGAGGCACCGCTTGAACTAGATCGCGTCGTACCGTACCGGGAACGTTTTAAAGACGACTCGGAAGAAAGCGTCGTGTAACGAGGAGAGAGAATTTCTACAAGGGCTCGTGGTATGAAGCTTGAAGCTTGTTCTGGTAACGAGGAGAATGCACGCGGTGACGGTGGTCAACGCGTTTACTCGCAATGACGCTGCGAGGAGAAATTCTATGCAGCGAAAATTCTGTGCGAAGAAAATTCCATCCGACGAAATTTCCACGCGAGGAAAAGGATATGCGACGCTTGGTTTCGTTCGGAATGGATGGCTGAACCGCGTCGGAGCTGTTACTCGACGAATGGCTAAACCTGTCTTGATTCTATTCAATTCTGGTAGAATTAACGGGGCTGTGGTGATACTATAGACCGAAGGCTGAAATGACAAGGGCTGGAAGAACCTCAGGTAATATAAAAGGCGCTGGCTGCGGTTCTAAACTAAAGCCTAGAGGCAATACTGAACTCAAATGGGTCGTGCATGCGAGGGAGGATGTAGCTTTGCCATTTCACACGCCCAGCGCAGCCCCCCCAGCCCCCTTGGCCGGCTTTTGGGCATGCTTTTAGGTGAACACTGAGGGTGTGTCCCGCGCGTACGTTTCTCGCTCAAAAGCCTACTCAACCGTTTTAGAACGCTATAATTGTTTTTTGTTTCGCATAAATTCTGACCCAACCGTACTCAAACGTACGCGGGGGGGACGCGCCTTGAACAGCACAGTTCACCCAGTGACAGGCGAGTCCCCTTGGCGGCTGGTCCTGCCCGAATGGACCCGACTGATTTGTGGTCGCCTCGCCCTGTCTCAGCGACGACCACTCGATTGATGTCGCGACCGCCGCCGAACCCTGGACTGCCCTGAAACAGGGACGCAACGAGGGGAGGGGACCTATGCTTGCAATGGACGGCTGCTTGGTCTCAGTGAAGGCCGCCAGGGCAAAAAAACTAATTTGCGACGCTGACGAAAACTGTAACCTTATTGATTTCGAAACTCTGGCTGCTGATTTGCAGATACATTTCGTCTGGCGAATCCGCGAAGCGGAGATGTATTTCGACAGGCCGATTTTCCTCGTGTGGTTTGTGGTGCAGTCGGGTTCGAATCGAATGCATCTTCTCACAATGCTGAGGAAGCGTCGTGAATTCTGCCCAATTGCAAGCAGCAGCACAGGCGTTGCAGCAGGAACTGCAGCACTCCAGTCTTCGCTCCACCCCATCTCACCCCACGCCACCCTTTTTAAAATCATCCCATCCCTTCTTTTTCCAAACTTTCTCCCCATCCTCCTCCTCCAGCCCTGCTCCCCAATGTCCTCCCCAACCACTTCCTCATCCACAGTTCCAAGGTAGCGACTGATGCTCATCAGTTGGTGCTCAGAATTAGCAGAGCCCGCTGCATTCTCGGTTCTGCCTCTGTCCACTGAACCCACACAACGTTCCGCGTTTCCCTCTCCGTGCGGACCGGACGTTCCCCGCACCGCCTTCCGAAGGTCTCCCCCTGCTCCCGAACATTTCCTCTCCGTCCCACTGGGCAGCTCTACGCCCTCCCTCCCACCCTTCATCATGGCCTCCCGAATCCCGCCGCGGCTTTTCCTTCTTACCGCGGCGCTCGTCCTCCTCGTCGGTGCGTGCTCTCTGATATTTCCAGTTTAGATTCTCCACGCTGGTCTGCCTAAAGTAGGTTGTTTCCGATATGACTCTCGAGTCGACTCAAAAGTCAGCTTCTCACCGCGGCGCTCGCCCTCCTCTTCGGTGCGTGCACTTCGACATTTCCACCTTAGTTTCTGGACGCTATTCTGCCTAAACTAGGTTGTTTCTGAGATGAGTTCTCAGTAGTCAGCCCTTCTTGCCGCATTGCTCGTCCTCCTTGTCGGTCCGCGCTGTCTGTTTCTTAAGCGCCTCCAAACATACAGCTCAGCTCTGGTCTTTCGACCCAGATTCTCCGCGCTGTTCTGCCGTTTCTCGACCGTTCCGAGTAAATCCGCAATGGCCATTGCGCCTCTTAGTACGCGACGGTTTTTTAGGGCAAGGTAGCCTTTGAGTTATCGTACCCACTCTCGCGCTCCCTGTGCGATATTCCAATCCACCCGCCGCACCGCGTGATGCCGCGGCGATTGATGATGTCCCTCGCGAGGCGCCACTGCGGCATTGCCGCGATGAGGCGCGAGAGCGTTGAAAGGAGTCCCTTATTATTCTCGCGATTTCAATCTCAGAGATTCGGCCACTGCCTCTCCTCCGCCATCATCTCTCCCTTTTCCTCAGCCTGCAATTCGCAGGAGATGTTTGAGGCGGCTAAAAAGTCATCCTGCAGCACTTCCTCCGATGAGCGAAGATGCGTGGGATGTCGCTTTCGTCTCGTAGCGAAAGTTCCGTGTGACATTGTAAGGAGGTGACTTTTGAGTCGACTCAAAAGTCGAAACGACGCAATCTCATCCAGCAGCTCCTCCTCCAATGAGCGAAGATGCGAGGGATCTCGCTTTCGTCTCCTCCCCTCGCATCTCTCCTTTTCCCTCCACATGCCAAACGTGCCTTTCCGTGTCACGTGTAATCTCCCCCCTTCAAGTTGTCTCCCTCCCCAACCTCCCCAATCTCATCTCCCTCTCTCCCTCTCCACTTCCTCCCTCCATCCAGCCCCTCCCTTCACAAGTTACTCGTTTCGCCCCCCTCTCTTCTCTTTCATTTTTCCTTTTCCCTCTTTTTCCCCCCTCTCCCCTTCCATGTCGCCGTCTCTCCACCGGTGTCTGCCCCGCGCGTCTGTTCCCCCGCGGTGCTGATCAACGAACGCCTCCTTTCGCTCGCTCCTTTCAGCCAGCGCTGAAGCGCAGGTACTGCCTGTAGCCTGTAGGGAATCGGCTACAGCCTAATACGAATATGAGTAGTTATAATAACAAATATTTGGAGAATAGTTAATATCGTATCTTTCAACTAATATTGAGAGAGTTCGAAAACAAATTTTAGTATGTAGGGAGAAAAAAGGCTACAATTCCGTATGCATACTAGAAGCACACTCACGAAAGCACATGCAAAAGCAAAAGCACGAGTTAAGAAGGCCCATTTAAATCCCGAGTCTCAAGTCGCGAGCCGCAGTCAAGGGAGGTTCGGGTTTAGGTGTGGAGTCTGGGCTGGATACGCGGATTTTGACAATTTTTAGCGACTTCCATGAGCTGTTGAAAAACGACAATTGTTAAAAAACGACACCCATTGGCAAAAAAAAAAACGAAATGGCCGTGATGATCACACACTCTCCAAAGAGTGTCGCCAACAGTTTTCCCTCCCCTTCCCTCCGAACCAAACGCCTCTTGCCAAACACATTTTGGGGGTTTGCAGCTTTGGTGCTCCAATCAGGTCGAACCCAAGCCCCATCTGCCACCCAGCAAGCCTCAGAGACTTGCTTGGCCCTGCATCTTGGGACCTGGGCTTCTAAACACAGGCTCCATCAATCTCCATCCCCCTCCTCCCCTCCCCCCCCGCCTCATAGGTGCTGCTCTAAGACATGGCCAATGCTGAAACGCCTCACAATAGCCCCCCCCCCCCCCGACTCCCCCTAGGTGCCTCTGCAAGACATTTTTATTTTGAGGCGGCGCCTTAAAAAAGGGCTTCATACATGCACTGTACCCCGTGCTTTAGTTGTCTCCCTCCTCTCTCAAACACAACCCCTAACGTTACGCCCCTCCCTCCCTCCCCCCTCACAACCCAACCCACCCCTCCGCATATAGAATGTGGTGCATGCACAAGGCAGGGCCGGCAGATTGTTGAAAGTCAGTCATCCTCCTACTGTTCCTCCCTCCTTCCCTCCTCTGTTCCCCCCCCCCTTTCGCCCCTCCGCATATAGAGAGTGGTGCATGTGGGGGGCAGACTCGGCAGGCTCATATCCCCGTGGGGCTATGGGCTCAAGACCTGGAAGGCGCCCAAAGTGCTGCCCGGTGACCTGCTAGGTACGTGTCTGTGGTGCAACAACTCAGTGCAAGTGAAGGTGATGTGGGAGTGGTGGGATGCGGTGGGATGTGGTGGCAACGCAATGGCAACAGATGGCTATCCCCGAGGGGCTATGGGCTCAAGACCTGGAAGGGGTCGGAAATGCTGCCAGGTGACCGGCTGGAGAGGTGGCAGTGGCGCCACGGCACGGCTCGTACTTGCACGGTAGTGCTTGATTTTGCTTCTTAGAATGACGGGGTGCTTTTTATATGCTTCCAAAAAAGACCCTACAAAATCAAGGCTACACTGTTTACGGCACGGTAGTGTTTGGATCTGCAGGGTTTTTTTTAGAATTCTAAAACGCAACCCTGCAGAGCTGCAGTGCCTCTTCTCCAACGCCCCCACCTTCCCACCCTGCCCCTGCCCCTGCCCCTGCCCCTGCCCCTGCCCTGCCCCTGCCCCTGCCTTTGCCCCTGCCCCTGCCCCTGCCCCTTCCCCTGCCCCTGCCCCTGCCCCTTCCCCTGCCCCTGCCCTGCCTGCAATCTTCCAGTGTGTCAACGAGTGGCACTCGGTGCAAGAAGTAGGCTCTGCAGGTTCCACTGCACTTGAGGTGCTTAGGTAGTAGAAACCCAATGCCCCCTCTCCTGTGCGCCTCGCATTGCACCCCTCCCATCCTGCCCCTCCCATCCTGCCCCTGCCATTCTGCCCCTCCCATCCTGACCCTGCCTGCCGGCAGTCTTCCAGCGGCTGAGCGAGCCGCACTCGGTGCACAAAGTAGACGCTACAGACTACACTGCATTTGACACACCTCTTAGAACAATGCTCCTCCTCCCCCCTCCCCACCCTCCTCCTCCCTCTCCCTCCCTCCCTCCCTCCCTCCCTGCCTGCCTGCAGTCTTCCAGTGGCTGAGCGAGCAGCACTCGGTGCACAAAGTGGACGCTGCAGACTACGCTGCATGCACGTTCCTCAACGCAAAACAGCTCGCCCGGGGTCGCAGCTATGGCAATTTCGTCTACAAGGTGCCTGGCGAGGACTACGATAAGACCATCTACTTCAGCAGCAACGTGAAAAAAGATTGCAGGAATGGGATCAAGGTGGCGTTCGACGTCAAGCCATAAAGCGTTTGGGTTGTGTTATGGTAGACGGTGCATGGGGTAATGGGTGTAGTTTGGGCAGCATTCAGATACAGACATACGGTACCGTGTATTACACGGAGGTTATGTAATCATATTTCGCTGCAGGCAGTCTACAGTGCAGGTTTTGTACTACAGTGGTTCCATGCAGGGTAAGTAAGTGTTACATTTATTGCAGTCAAGCAACACGACAAATGCCTCTACTGACTGAAGCTCTATCTGTGATGGGGCAATACAGTGTGGTGTGGTTGTTATTGGTAGAATACACGGCTCAATATACATGCCTACACCTCATAGGCTATTGGAATGTTCTGCATGCTCTATTGCTAATGCACCATTTGTCTCAAAGTTTGGAGCTAGTACCAGTACTACCAGGCAATTTGACCCGGCCCAACCCATGCAGTAGTTTATTCACTAAGGGGAAAATAGGCAAGCTGCTCCTACAGTCTTGAGCTCAGTTCAGATCAGATGTCTCACGCCACAATCACTCCAGCTGGCCAGCCATCCAGCCGTTTCCTCACATCCTCCTTGCCCATCTCTCGCCTTCTCCCCGCACTGTTCTTCCTCCCACTCGTTCCTCCGACCGCTCCTTGCATGCACAGCCGTCTCCTAGATCCCCTCCACTACAGACGCTGCCGCCGCCGCTGCTGCTGCTGCCGCTGTTGCTGCTGCTGCTGCTGCTGCTGCTGCTGCTGCTGCTGCTGCTGCTGCTGAGAGAGCCAGTCCATGCCCTGGCCACCTGTCATCCATATCAATCCCATATTCTCGCAGCTGTGTCTGCAACTCACAGCGGTCACTCAACATCCAGCAAGTCATGCAGCCGTTTCTTCACACCCTTGCTCATCTCTCGCCGTATCTCTGCCAGCTGCCGCTGCTTCTGCTCATCCCTCTCGCACACCCGAGACGAGCGCCGCGGCTCTGATGCAGCAGCAGAGGGGTGAGGGAGGTGAGAGGGGTGGGCATGGCGTGGCTCGGATGCAGCAGCAGAGGAGTGAGGGGGGTGAGAGGGGTGAGGGAGGTGAGAGGGGTGAGGGAGGTGAGAGGGGTGGGCACGGCGTGGCTGGGATGCAGCAGAAGAGTGAGGGGGATGAGAGGAGTGGGAGGGAGGACGGGGGTGAGAGCGGCGGGGTTCGGATGTAGCAGGAGAGAAGTGAGTTTGGCAGGTCTCCCATGGGGCAGGGGAGGGGCGGGTGGGGGCAGGGGGTGACTGTGGCCGGTGCCCTGGAGGTGACTGTAGCCAGCGCTGCACATGTGACTGTATAGGGAGTGACGGATGGGCAGGTGAGGGTGATTGAAGCGAGAGTGACTGCATGCCAAATGACACAAGCGAAGGGGAGTGGAATCGGGGCGACCCTGAAAGGACGTGCTTCCCCTTGCGCTCCCTGTCCCAGCGTTGCTTCTCCCTCAAGGATCTGCCTAACTGCTGCTGCTCCTTCCATTGCTGCTCCCTCCTCCGCTGTTGCTTCTTCCTCTGTCTCAATGCACGTTCAGCTGCCTCTTCTTGCCCCTCCCTTCTCTTCTCGCCTCTCCACCTCTCTTTTGGACTCGCCTTATCTCCTCCCTCCCTACCTCTCCTTTCCCCCACCTCTCTCCTCTCCTCCCTCTCCAACTCAGAGTCAGAGCCACTGCTGGCATCCTCTCCTCTGCTCTCCTGGCTCTTCACTTGCCCCTCACTCCCCTCACTCCCCTCGCTCTCTTCCCCCACCGCTTTCCCTGCTCTCTCTCCGCTCCCCTCACTGCCGCTGCTGAGGGTGATACGATGCGTCCCTTCAACCTCCACCACATCCGGACTCACACGCACCTCAGTCGCTGCCTCTGATCCTTGCTCCCCCTGTCCCCCCTGCCCCCCCTGTCCCTCCTGTTCCCCTTGAGTTGGGCCCAACGTATGGTGCGAGCCTCCGACCTGCGGCACATCTAGACGCACGCGCACCTCCTGCACGTCCTCTGCTCCCTGCCCCTCCTCTGCTCCCTGCACATCCTTAGCTCCCAGCGACCGCCCGTGCTCATCATCAGCATCATCATCAGCATCATCGGCATCATCATCATTGCACTTCCGTTTTTCGGGTCTCGCCTCGTCTGCTGCATCATGCCGTGGTGCACCCTCCCTCTTTTCCCCATCCTTCTGTTCCCTGTCATCCTGCTCTGCTGTGAGCCACCTCTCTGTGCCCTGCCTCGCTGTGAAATATCGCATGCCTCGCCTTTTCACCCTCGCCTCGTCACCACCAAGCGGCGCTGCGCCATCCCTCCCTTCCCCTCCTTGACTTCCTGCCTCATCCTGCTCCTCCGTGTGCCACCCCTCCATTCCCTGCCTGTCGGTGAAATGTCGCCCGCCCAACTCTCTTCGCCTCTTAACACCTGCCTCCTCAGCATGCCTTCTCCCTCTACCTCCCACACCTTTCAACTTCTCTGCTGCCTCTTCCTCCCTCCCTGGTCTATGTACACGTGGTTGCAGCAGAGTGCTCTCTTGCCCGTGATGAGCTGGCACATGGTGACCTGGCAAATGCTGAGCTGGCAAGTATCGACCGGACACAATATCAAGTTCTCTTCTGCCAAATTTCCCTCCACTTCGACCACCCGCTTCCCTTTCCTTCTCCCGACTCTCATCCTTCTCCTCTTGCGCCTCCACTTTCTCCCCCTCTTCCTCTTCATCTTCAGAACCACTCAGATCCACACACTCCGTCTCCTTGCCATGCTCCAACGCCTTTTGAGGCGCCTCAAAAGTCATCTCATTACTCACGGTTTTAACATAGGAAGCATTTTTAGGCCGACTCAAATCCAGGCACTCTGTCTCTGGGTCACCCTCCAACATCCCTTTGCTTCCTCCTCCCTTCTCTCCCTTCCCTCCCTTCTTCCCCTCCTCCACTTCACCTACCAATTCCTCCTCCTCTTCCTCCTCCTCTTCCTCCTCCTCTTCCTCCTCTTCCTCCTCCTCTTCTTCCTCCCCCTCCTCATCATTCTCAAGCCCACTCAGATCCACACACTCCAACGCTTTACCAAGCTCCATTTTCCCCTCCTCCCGGGCCTCACCTTTCCCTCCTCCCTTCTCAAGCGGTCCCTTCTCTCCCTCATCCATCTCGCCGACCAAGCTCCCTCTTTCCCCACCTTCTTCCCCTGCCTTCACCTCATCCTTTCCCGCACTTCCCTCCTCCTCCTCTGCTTCACCTTCCTTCTCCCCCTTCCCCCCTCCGGCCCGTTCCCCTCTCTCCTCATCTTCCTCTCCCTCTACTTCCTCGTCCTCCTCAACCTCCTCCCCGTCCTTCACTTCTCCTTCCTCTTCTTCTGATTCCTCCCCCACTCTCAAGCCACCCCCTTCCTCCCCTTCCTCCCCTTCCTCCCCTGCGTCCACACCACTCCCCCCCCTCCCTGCACCCACTCCTTCCACTCTAATCCCAAGCTGCCCTTCCAAGCTGCACACCCGCCTCTCACCTCTCACCCGCCCCTCACCTCTCAACCCCCTCGCACCCACGCCTCTCGCTCTATTCCCACCCACTCCACCTTCCCCGTCTGCAGGCGTGAGGAGTCTATTTTTGAGGCGCCTCAACACTCCACTCTCCCCGTCCGCAGGCTTCGTAGCCCCGTTCTGCCCTTCGTCCCCCTCCACTTCCTTTCTTGCTATCTCCGCCTCCACCTTCTCCTTCTCCTCTCCAACCTTCCCCCCCCCTCCCTCGAATCCTCCTCTTTCTTCTCCTTCCCCAGAGTCACATCCTTACCTCCATCTCTCCCCTCCATATCCTTTTCAGCCCATGTTTCCTCCTCAACCTTCCCCTTCGGTTCCACCACAAAGCAATCCTCATTCTCCTCCTCCTCCTCCTCCTCCTCCTCCTTCTCATCTTCTTCCTCCTCCCTCTTTTCATCGTCTTCCTCATCCTCCTTTTCGCCTTCTTCCTTCTTCTTCTCCTCACTCCTTTCCCTCATCGCCTCATCCTCCACTGCTTTCTCCCCCCACTCTCCCTCCCATTCCTCCCCTCCAGTGCCCTGCCCTCCACTTCTCTCCTCCACCCCTCCGTTCTCTTTCCTCCCTCTTCCCTTCCCCTCACCAGTCCCACTCGCTTCACCCCATCATCTTTCCCCACTCCCGCTTCTCTATCCCTCACCGCCCCCACTCCTTTCTCCTCCCTCCTCCCCCCAACCACTGCCACTGCATGTCTCCCTGCCCCCTCTCGAGCCCTCGCCGCACCACCTGCTGCTGCTGCTGCCCCCGCTTCCATCGTCACTCCTGTGCGTGTCCCCTCCCGCCCAACTCTTTTCCCACCCTCTTTCCCTCTCCCTTTGGGCTCGCTTCCGGCCCCAACCCCCCCCTCGCACCCCTCTCTCGTGCCGTCCGTTGCTCCTTTTCCTTCCCGCTCACCTCCGTTGCTCCCACCCTCTTCTCCTCCCCCTTCCGACCTTCCTTCTCTCCTCACCCCCCTGCCCGGCCCCTCTACCCTCTTCTGCAGCGCTGTCCGCAGCCGTGTGTCAGCAGTGCGGGTGTTGTGAGAAGAACGAGAAGTGACAAGTAACGCAGCAGACTGCTCCCCCTGTGGGTTCCTGACACACCCACCCGCCGGCCCATCACCCCTCTTCTGCAGTGACGTCAGCAGCCCTGTGGCAGAATCCAGGTTGCTGCTCAGATCCAGGTCACCCCACATGTCCGCACCACCACCACCCGCACTCTGTTTCCCCTCCTCGCGCCTCGATGCTATCCTGCCCTCCTCCTCCGCATCGCTGCTTTCTCCTCTCCCAATGCTTTCGCTGGTCTCCCCAGCCTCATGCCTTTCGATTCCTCCCTCCTTCGCCGCCTTCTGCCTACCCTCTTTCTTCTTCTCCCCATCGTCCTCCTCCTCCTCCTCCTCCTCCTCCTCCTCTCGTCTTTTTACCCGTACGTCGCCCCTATCCTCCTTCTCATTATCCTCCACTTCGTCCCCATCCCTCACAGGCGATTCACTGATGCAAAGAACAACAGGTGCTGCTGCACCCCCCACGCCTCCCTCACCCCGCTCGCATCTGTCGTTATTTTCTTCCCTTCCCTCCTCTTTGTCCTCCGCTCTACCCTCCTCCCTATCCTCCTCCTCTCTATCAGCTTCCTCCCGATTCTCAGCCTCATCTCCTCGCGAGTCACTGATGAAAACAACAGCTGCTTTATCCTCCTCTTCCTGCGTCACATGCTCCTCCTCCTCTTCCTCCTCCGCATCCTCCCCCTCATCTGCATCGTCCGCCCCATCGTCCTTCCACAACCCCCCGTACCTCTTCAATCCTCCCCTCCTTTCTGCTACCCACCCTCGTCTGCACGCCAGTCTGACTGTAGCAGCAGCCGAGGTTTTTGCTCTTGCAACCGCATCTAGAGCTGCAGTGTCTGCTGCATTGGTGTCTGAACATGTACGTACAGCTGTGGCAGTGGCTGTGGCTGTGGCTGTAGCAGCACCTGTGGCTGTAGAAGAACCCATGGCTGTAGCAGCACCTGTGGCGGTAGCAGCACCTGTGGCTGTAGCAGCATCTGCAGCTGTAGCGGACCCCTGAGCAGCACATGCGGCAGCCAGACCATCGCGTGCCCTACGGCCAGGAGGATGTTTGCCAGCCAGACCACCGCGCACGTTGCTACCAACAGTTCCGTTACCATCATTGACATTGTCAGCAGCCACAGCCTCGGCTGCAGCACGAGGGGCAGCAGCAGCAGCAGCAGCACGAGGAGCAGGAGGAGCAGGAGGAGCAGGAGGAGCAGGAGCAGATTCATCAGCTGAACTACTCATCAACACATAATGTGCCAGCTCATGCTCTCCAGATGCCAGCTCATGCTCTCCAGGTGCCAGCTCATGCTCTCCAGATGCCAGCTCATGCTCTCCAGATGCCAGCTCATGTTCTCCAGGTGCCAGCTCATGCTCTCCAGGTACCAGCTCATGCTCTCCCTCAACCCTAATCCCTGTCAACTCAACAGAACTCCCCTTTTTTCCTTGCTCCCTTTCCGTCTCCTGCCGCCCTTTCTCCTCTCGCGCCTCCTCTCCACTCATGTCCTCATTCTGCCTCACCGCAAGCTTCGCCTCTCCTCCTCTCCTGTCTTCCACCAGCCCTTGTTGCCTATCCCTCGTTTCCTCTTCCGTTTCAACCCCCTCCACCTCTCCGCTACTTTCCTCTTCCACCCGCCCCTTCTGTCTGTCCCCCTTTCCCTCCTCCCTCCTCTTCTCTTCCTTTCGAACCTCCTCCACGTCCCCCCCTCCCTCTTCCCTCCGTCCCTCGTCTCTCGGACTTCTCAAACACTCCGCCTCCTCCACCTCCTCTACCTCCTCCCCACTCACCTCCACCTTCCTATTCCTCTCCTCTCTCCTCCCCGCCTTCCCTTCACTCCTCTCCAACCCCGCCCCTCCCTTCTCTTCCCCCTTCTCCCCCTTCTCCCCCTCCTCCCCCTTCTCCTTCTCCTTCGCCATCTCCATCTCTACCTCCCTATCCACCTCATCCAGCCAATCAGCAACCGCACTCCGAGCAACCCTCCCTTCACCACTCCCATCCATTCCCCCCATCCGCCATCCCCCACCCTCCCCCTCTTCCTCACCGCAACCACCTCCATCACATCATCCTCCTCCTCTACCTCCTTCTCCTCCCCACTCCCCTCCTCTATCCTCTCTTGCACGCACCGCTCTCTCTTCCCACCAACCCTACCCTGCGTCAGAGGGCCCCCTTCTCCCTGACCTGCCATGATTGCTTGCACGCTGCGGCTACGAGTCACACGCATATTCTGCTGCTGCTGCTGCTGCTGCTGGTCTTGTGCCACGTCCTTTCTGTGTCCCTCTCCCCGTCTCTCCGCACCTCTACCCCCCCTCACACCACCCTCTCCCTCCACTCTCCCCCCTTCCCTCTCCCCCCTCCTCCCCCACACTCCTCATCTCCCTCGCTAGCAGCCCTCGCAACCCTCCCTCGCGCCCCACTCCACACCCCGCCCCCTCCTCGTTCCATGCTTCCCTCACCTCCTCCCCAACCACCACATCCTCTTTCTTGGGTTCTCTCTCCAGCAGGTCCACCAGCCCCGCTCGGTGCAGCACCGTCCGGCGAATAGCGGCTCGCATGGGCTTGGCTGAGTCTGGCTTTAGCCAGGGGAAGGACAGCTGGAGAGAGGAGGGGGGGGGAGGGGAGAAGAGTAGAGTGGGGGGAGGAAAGAGAGTGGTCTCTCCTTGGGTTCTCTCGCATGGGTGAAAGAGGAAGGAGGGAAGGACAGGTGGGAGGAAGGAGGGACAAATAGAGTGGAACCGGGGGGAGAAAGAGGGGGGCCTCTTTGGTTCACTCAGGTTCTCGCGCTAGCAAGTCAACCAGCCCCGCTTGCTGCGGATAATGGCTCGCATGGGCTTGGCTGAGTTAGGCTTCTGCCAGGGGTAGGACAGCTGGTGGGAAGGGCAAGGGCGGGACGAGGGAAACAAGGGGAGGCGCGGACGCAAGGAAAGGGGATGGCAGCTCGCTGGGAGGGGGCTCTCTTGGGTTCTCTCTCCAGAAAGTCAACCAGCCCCGCTCGCTGCAGCACGGTGCGGTGGATGGCAGCTCGCATGGGCTTGAGCCAGACGAAGCACAGCTGGGGTGTGTGTGGATGTTGGGAGGAAGGCGGGAGAACTAGGAAAGTGTGGGCACAACTCTAAGGTAACGGCAGCTCGCATCGGCTTGGCTGAGGCAGGGGGGGACGCTGCGGTGTGTGGAGGTGGGGGCGGTTCGGGGAGGAAGGAGGGGGAGTGGGACAGGAACAAAAGCCCATTTTTGAGGGGCCAAAAAAAAATCCATGCGTGAGGAGTCTATTTTTTAGGCGCCTCAAAGATGGGACAGGAACAAAGGCCCGTGAACCCGCATTCAGGAGAGCGGACGGAGAGCAGGAACGCCGCCAGCAAGCAGCACTAGCAGTCGCAAATAGGCGCACTTCCACTGCTTTGCATTGCTGGCACGTGGGAGGCTTGTGGCAGACTCGATTTTTTCTTGTTTCTTGTGGAATCCCGTGACGGCCGTTTGTCGAGTAGTCACAGAATGAGCGCTATCATCCTTTCTGGCATTCTGGCTTCAGTCATGGCCGAACGCAAAATTAGTGCGGCTAGAGCGACAGAGTTTCCGGCTTGAGCTTTGTTTGGCAAATTGAAACCAAAGTCATGTGGCTGAAAAGTTAGCGCGCCACGAAGAGTTCTTCAAGGTTCTTCAAGCGTGCAGCGTGATTTTGGTTTCAAATTGCCAAAACTCGAGCCAGAAACTCTGTCGCTCCGGCCGCACTAATTTACCGTTCGGCCATGACAGAAGCCAGAGTTCTAGAGAGGATTATAGAACTTATTCTGTGACTTCTAGATAAACGACCGTCACGGGACTCTACAAAAAACAAGAAAAAGGCGAGCCTCCCACCACTAGCTTGCATTGCTCGCACGCAGGCCTTTGGCACATAGTGAGTGGCATGTGGAAGAGGAGCTACTGCGCATATAGGAGCAGGCGTACAGCAAACAACAGCCGAGCGGGCCCACGTACCACTTGCTTGCACTGCTCGCACGCTTGCGCACGACACACAGTGAGCGGCAAGTGGGAGAGGAGCTCCTGCGCATATAGCAGCAGGAAGACCCCGCAGTCACTCAGATTGGGCTGCTTGGGGACCTGCAGGTGCAGAGACGGGATGGAGGAGTGGGGAGGGGAGGCACACAGGCAGAAAGGCAAGGTCTCAGACAGAGGGGCATGTGGAGAGGAGCTCTTGGTGATTTAGTAGCAGGAAGACCCCGCAGTCACTCAGATTGGGCTGCTTGGGGACCTGCAGGTGGGTGGAGGAGTGGGGAGGGGAGGCAGAAGCAGCAAGGTGTGTAGAGAGCAGGGGCATGTGCGAGAGCAGATCTTGGGCGTATAGGGGCAGGAAGACCCCGCAGTCACTCAGATTGGGCTGCTTGGGGGCCTGCAGACGTTGGGAGGGGATGGAGGAGAGGGGAGAAGCTCAAAAGTCACCTCAATGCAAGAAAAGGCGAGGGGAAAGGGTTGAGACTTCGTGTGTCCTACTGCTGAGGTGCAGGGAGAGAAACACATGTTAGAAGAGCGCAGGAAGGAGGTTGCAGTGAAGATAGGAAAGCGCAAACAGCAAAAAGAAAGAAAGAAAAAGTAGGGTCAATAACACCAACAAAAGAAAACTATGTCTCCCTCCCATCCCATGTGAACTGCTCACCTGCTCACAGGACGATTCTCTTTCAGAATGGTCGTGCTTACCTTGGGGCGAATGACAGGCAGAGACACAAACGCCCTTCGTATGGCCTTGGTGGGGGGCACCTTATAGCGCACCAAGTACTCCTCCAGCAGATACCTGGGGATGAGGGAGAGGGGGAGAACAGAGGCCAAAGGGAACAACACAGGAGCAGCAGAGTGCTATCAAGCCAGCTCAGCACCTTATAGCAAAGCAACTACTCCTCCAGCAGATACCTGACGGTGATTAGGGGGGGAGGGTGGGGGAGGGAGAGTGGGGACGGGACTATTCCAAGTCACCTCGACACTTCATAGCACACCAAGGACCCATCCAACCAGCAGATACCTGAGGATGTTGGGGGAAAAGGGAGTGGGGCAAGTCATGTGGGAGCGGGCACATGAGTAGACTCGCTCACAGGTCACGTCTCGATGCTTGATGGCACACCCAGCAGTACCACTCCAGCAGACACCTGAGGATGAATGAGAGGGAGGCGAAGAGAGAGGCATGGGACAACACAAGCGCCGGGTACATTGACTAAATTAACTACACTGACACAGCCTCACCCACTCCCCCCCCCCCCTTCCTGCCCACCCATGACTCACATCCTGACAGCCTTTTCCACATCCAGGTGCAGCCCTGGCAGCGAGTCGTACTGGAGAATGCACGCTCGTGAGACACGTCCCTTCCTCCTCTACCCCCCTCTCCCTTACCTCACTCACCTCCCCCCCAACACATGTCTCACATCCTGACAGCCTCTTCCACGCCCAGGTGCAGCCAAGTCGCAGTGCTGCAGAATGCACGTTTGTGAGACCCCCTTTCTACCTCTACCCTCCAATAGGGATCTCATACTGACTCACATTCGGACGGCCTCTTCCACGTCCAGGTGCAGGCCTGGCAGCGAGTCGTAGTGCAGAATGCACGCAGCAGGCTCATGGGCGGGGTCGTGGGAGCAACGTTGTGAGAGGTAGGCGTGGGAGCAGCAGGGTCATGAGAGGAGGGTGCGGGAGGGTCTATGGACGGGGGGGGTGTAGTAGTGGGCTCGCGAGAGGGGGATGCAGGAGGGTTGTTGGTTAGGGTTGAGGGAACCGGGGAAGCAGACGGGAGGTGGGGAGCGGGAGGAGGTTTGAGAGGAGCGTGGGGGGAGGAGGGAAGGGGCTGGAAAGAGGAGGGTATGGGCTGGCCGGAGTGATAGGAGACTGGCCGACGGCTGATGGCAGTGGCGGGGCTGGAGTGTTGTGTGGAGGGGTGGCTTGAGGGGGTTGGAGAGCGCACGAGAGGGAGGGGCACGGAGGGGGGAATGTGGTAGGATTTGAGAGCAGATGTACTCTTGCAGAGGGGAGGCTTCTGAAGGGGATGGGGATGGTGATAGAGGCGAGGTTGATGGGGGTATAGGATGGGAGGATGCTGATGATGATTTGGGCGGATGTGTTGCTGCTGCTGCTGCTTCTGTTCCTGCCCCCCGTACAACTGCTGCTCCTACTGCTGCTGCCGCTGCTGCTGCTGCTGCTGGCGACAGTGCTGGTGGTGCTGGTGGTTGCAGGGCAGGTGATTCTGGTTGTGCCACTGCTGCTTCTGCTGATGCTGGAACTGCGCTTCCTGGTGGTGGTGGTGGTGGGAGGATCTTGTTTGGATGGCAGATGACCAGGAGACTCCAGTGGTAGCTGCAAGGGGAAACAGCAGGCAGAAGAAACACTGATGTGGATGGATGCGTGTGTGAGCATATGTATGCATGCGTAAACGCAATAGCAGGAGGAGAGAAGGGAACACAGAGACGATGGACTGTATGCATCCATCTGCATCTGTACCAGGTGCGCAATGCGCACGATGCGAAATCACCCTGAGGGTATGTTATCACCCTGAGGTTATCACACAACAGTGCGAAAACGATGGGGGACGAATCCACCCTGAGGTTCAAACAGGACATACCTGAGGTAATTACCCACCTGAGGGTGATAACCTACCCTAGGGGTGATTATCCACCTGAGGGTGATAACCTACCCTAGGGGTGATTATCCACCTGAGGGTGATAACCTACCCTAGGGGTGATTATCCACCTGAGGGTGATAACCTACCCTAGGGGTGATTATCCACCTGAGGGTGATAACCTACCCTAGCGGTGATTACCAACCAGAAGAATTTTGCCACCTGAGACTGGCAGGAATGGAGACTAAGTCGCATGCAATGCAACGAGTCGCCATGCAGAGCCATGGCGCCATGCAGAGCCATGGCGAGAGAGAGATAACATTGAGGAGGAGCAGTGTGATCACCAAGAGAAAGAGGACCAGCAGGCGGAGACGGGGAATGTGGAGCAAGAGACCACACGATTGATGCACAAGCACAAGCACAAGCACAAGCACAAGCACAAGCACAAGCACAAGCACAAGCACAAGCACAAGCACAAGCACAAGCACAAGCACAAGCACAAGCACAAGCACAAAGCAACAAGCACAAGCACAAGCACAAGCAAAGCACAAGCACAAGCACAAGCACAAGCACAAGCACAAGCACAAGCACAAGCACAAGCACAAGCACAAGCACAAGCACAAGCACAAGCACAAGCACAAGCACAAGCACAAGCACAAGCACAAGCACAAGCACAAGCACAAGCACAAGCACAAGCACAAGCACAAGCACAAGCACAAGCACAAGCACAAGCACAAGCACAAGCACAAGCACAAGCACAAGCACAAGCACAAGCACAAGCACAAGCACAAGCACAAGCACAAGCACAAGCACAAGCACAAGCACAAGCACAAGCACAAGCACAAGCACAAGCACAAGCACAAGCACAAGCACAAGGACAAGGACAAGCACAAGCACAAGCACAAGCACAAGCACAAGCACAAGCACAAGCACAAGCACAAGCACAAGCACAAGCACAAGCACAAGCACAAGCACAAGCACAAGGACAAGGACAAGCACAAGCACAAGCACAAGCACAAGCACAAGGACAAGCACAAGCACAAGCACAAGCACAAGCACAAGCACAAGCACAAGCACAAGCACAAGACGGATACCAGCTGCTCTTGGCCCCACCTGAGGTTGATTGAACCCACCTGAGGTTGATTGAACCCACCTGAGGTTGATTGAACCCACCTGAGGTTGATTGAACCCACCTGAGGTTGATTGAACCCACCTGAGGTTGATTGAACCCACCTGAGGTTGATTGAACCCACCTGAGGTTGATTGAACCCACCTGAGGTTGATTGAACCCACCTGAGGTTGATTGAACCCACCTGAGGTTGATTGAACCCACCTGAGGTTGATTGAACCCACCTGAGGTTGATTGAACCCACCTGAGGTTGATTGAACCCACCTGAGGTTGATTGAACCCACCTGAGGTTGATTGAACCCACCTGAGGTTGATTGAACCCACCTGAGGTTGATTGAACCCACCTGAGGTTGATTGAATTGAACCCACCTGAGGTTGATTGAACCCACCTCAGGTTGATTGAATTGAACCCACCTGAGGTTGATTGAACCCACCTGAGGTTGATTGAACCCACCTGAGGTTGATTGAACCCACCTGAGGTTGATTGAACCCACCTCAGGTTGATTGAACCCACCTGAGGTTGATTGAACCCACCTGAGGTTGATTGAACCCACCTGAGGTTGATTGAACCCACCTGAGGTTGATTGAACCCACCTGAGGTTGATTGAACCCACCTGAGGTTGATTGAACCCACCTGAGGTTGATTGAACCCACCTGAGGTTGATTGAACCCACCTGAGGTTGATTGAACCCACCTGAGGTTGATTGAACCCACCTGAGGTTGATTGAACCCACCTGAGGTTGATTGAACCCACCTGAGGTTGATTGAATTGAACCCACCTGAGGTTGATTGAACCCACCTCAGGTTGATTGAATTGAACCCACCTGAGGTTGATTGAACCCACCTGAGGTTGATTGAACCCACCTGAGGTTGATTGAACCCACCTGAGGTTGATTGAACCCACCTCAGGTTGATTGAACCCACCTGAGGTTGATTGAACCCACCTGAGGTTGATTGAACCCACCTGAGGTTGATTGAATTGAACCCACCTGAGGTTGATTGAACCCACCTCAGGTTGATTGAATCCACCTGAGGTTGATTGAACCCACCTGAGGTTGATTGAACCCACCTGAGGTTGATTGAACCCACCTGAGGTTGATTGAACCCACCTGAGGTTGATTGAATTGAACCCACCTGAGGTTGATTGAACCCACCTGAGGTTGATTGAACCCACCTGAGGTTGATTGAACCCACCTGAGGTTGATTGAACCCACCTGAGGTTGATTGAACCCACCTGAGGTTGATTGAACCCACCTGAGGTTGATTGAACCCACCTGAGGTTGATTGAACCCACCTGAGGTTGATTGAACCCACCTGAGGTTGATTGAACCCACCTGAGGTTGATTGAACCCACCTGAGGTTGATTGAACCCACCTGAGGTTGATTGAATTGAACCCACCTGAGGTTGATTGAACCCACCTCAGGTTGATTGAATTGAACCCACCTGAGGTTGATTGAACCCACCTGAGGTTGATTGAACCCACCTGAGGTTGATTGAACCCACCTGAGGTTGATTGAACCCACCTGAGGTTGATTGAACCCACCTGAGGTTGATTGAACCCACCTGAGGTTGATTGAACCCACCTGAGGTTGATTGAACCCACCTGAGGTTGATTGAACCCACCTGAGGTTGATTGAACCCACCTGAGGTTGATTGAACCCACCTGAGGTTGATTGAACCCACCTGAGGTTGATTGAACCCACCTGAGGTTGATTGAACCCACCTGAGGTTGATTGAACCCACCTGAGGTTGATTGAACCCACCTGAGGTTGATTGAACCCACCTGAGGTTGATTGAACCCACCTGAGGTTGATTGAATTGAACCCACCTGAGGTTGATTGAACCCACCTGAGGTTGATTGAACCCACCTGAGGTTGATTGAACCCACCTGAGGTTGATTGAACCCACCTGAGGTTGATTGAACCCACCTGAGGTTGATTGAACCCACCTGAGGTTGATTGAACCCACCTGAGGTTGATTGAACCCACCTGAGGTTGATTGAACCCACCTGAGGTTGATTGAACCCACCTGAGGTTGATTGAACCCACCTGAGGTTGATTGAACCCACCTGAGGTTGATTGAACCCACCTGAGGTTGATTGAACCCACCTGAGGTTGATTGAATTGAACCCACCTGAGGTTGATTGAACCCACCTGAGGTTGATTGAACCCACCTGAGGTTGATTGAACCCACCTGAGGTTGATTGAATTGAACCCACCTGAGGTTGATTGAACCCACCTGAGGTTGATTGAATTGAACCCACCTGAGGTTGATTGAACCCACCTGAGGTTGATTGAACCCACCTGAGGTTGATTGAACCCACCTGAGGTTGATTGAACCCACCTGAGGTTGATTGAACCCACCTGAGGTTGATTGAACCCACCTGAGGTTGATTGAACCCACCTGAGGTTGATTGAACCCACCTGAGGTTGATTGAACCCACCTGAGGTTGATTGAACCCACCTGAGGTTGGACCCACCTGAGGTTGGACCCACCTGAGGTTGAACCCACCTGAGGTTGGACCCACCGGAGGTTGACTGAACCCACCTGAGGTTGAACCCACCTGAGGTTGAACCCACCTGAGTTTGAACCCACCTGAGTTTGAACCCACCTGAGTTTGAACCCACCTGAGGTTGACTGAACCCACCTGAGGTTGACTGAACCCACCTGAGGTTGACTGAACCCACCTGAGGTTGACTGAACCCACCTGAGGTTGACGGGGATGAACACAAAGTCGCAGGCAAAGAGGTTCACCCCCTTGGTCCACTTGCGCACCCTCCAGTGCGCGGCCTTGGAGTCCAGCTCCTCATCCGCATCCCCTGGCGCATTGGGGGCAGCAGCATGGTTGTTGGCAACGGCACTACCGCCGGCAGCAGCAGTGGCACGAGTGGTGGGGAAGAGGGGGTCGTCCTTCTCCCCGCCGATCAGCATCTTGAAGAAGAAGCTGTTGAAGAAATGCACCGTGGGGGGGGGGGGGGCGGGTGCTCCTTCGAACCAGCTGCTGTGGCCATGGTTTGATCATCCGACGCCTTCGTCTTCGCATCGTTGCTTGCAGAGCCGCTCACAGTGCCGCTGACAGAGCCACCTGGTGCCTTCACAACAGTATCAACTTTCTCCGTGTTTACGCCACCTGCCGTTACTACAGACGCTGCAGCTTGCATGGTGGCAGCTGCAGTGGCAATGGCAGTGGTGGCAGCGGCGGCACTCGCATATTTGTCAGCAGAAGCAGCAGCAGCAGCAGGGATCGGAGGTGGTGCTCGTGATGCTGGCAGTGCTGCTGCTGCTGATGCTGGTGCCAATGGTGGTAGTGACGGCGGGGGCGGTGCTTGTTTGTTGCCAGTCAGAGAGCAAGTAATACTCCCCTGTTCAATGGACTGCAGCTTCAGGTGCCTGCATGGTGCAGGGGGGAAGGGGGAAAGAGGGAGAGAGATGGATGGTGGTGGCCGTGGTGGTGGTCGCAGGCAGTGCATGGTTTCACTACCAGTCAGCGTGCACACGATGCTTTTGAGTCGACTTAAAAGTGGTCTCACTACCAGCCGGCGCGCGCGTGAATCGTGATCCAGCCACCATCAACAAACTGCAGCTTCAGATGACAGGGGACAGGGTGCGGATGAGAGAGGGAGCAAAAGAAAAAAAAAAAAGAAAAAAGTGATAACGGACGCGTGTCATGCTACCTCTCTCACTTGAGGTGGAAGTCGAAGAGCGTGCCGTGTTGTTGAGTGGACTTTGAGGCGCCTCAAGAAAAGGTGTTGTTGAGGAACTCGAAAAGGAAGATTTGAAGAAAGAAGTGTAATTCACTCACTCACTTGAGGAGGACCGCGGAATTCGATGAGCGTGTCGTTGACAACCTCCTCTGCCCTCAGTCGCTCTCCATGTCCTCCCCATCTCCCATCTCCCATCTCCCATCTATCTCCCATCTATCTCCCATCTCCCATCTCCCATCTATCTCCCATCTCCCATCTCCCATCTCCCATCTCTCCTCTTCGTCACACGGACACAACCAGCCTGAATCGCTCTCCGTTCAATGCATTTTGAAATGAACCTACAAAAACATAATACATTCCCACAGTGCAGCACTCCCATCTCACCGTAACACTGACAACCCGCCTGTACTGCCCTCGGTGCAGTGTGAAAACTGTATTTCAAGGTCCAAGCCAAAATATATTCACACAGTACGGTCACTCACTTGAGGTGGAAGTCGATGAGTGTGTCGTTGAGGAACTCCTCTGGCCACACGGACACAAACGGCCTCAACTGCCCTCCGTTTGGTGCGTTTTGAAATGAACCCTAAATCCAATGTCAAGGTTCAAATGTTCGGTTCATATCAAATTCCCACTCACTTGAGGTGGAAGTCGATGAGTGTGTCGTTGAGGAACTCCTCTGGTCTCAGCCGCTCCACGTCCTCCCACCGCACCGTCACACTGTCCGTGCCTGTGGGCGGGAACACAAACGCCGCAAACCGCTCCCGGCATTCCGCCAGCCACTTCCTCTGCGCAGCTGCTAACAGCCCCGCTGCCCTCCTGCGGTTCTGTGCTGGAGGCGGGGTGGCAGCAGCCGTGGGTGCAGCAGACTGCTCATTTGGCTCATCTGCTACAAGCCCCGCTGCTCTTCTGCGGTACTGCACTGGAGGGGGAGGAGGAGGAGGAGGCGGGGAAGCAGCCCTTGGGCCAGCAGCAGGAGGAGCAGCAAGGGGAGAAGGCACAGCAGGAGCAGCAGGGGCAGCAGGAGAGGCAGGGGAGGCAGGAGAGAGGGAGATAGTATTGCAAGAGCCTTTTACAGGCGTACTGGTAGTGGAACCAGGGGGCGCAGCAGAGCGAGCAGGCGCAGCAGCAGGAGAAGACACAGGGGTGGAGAGGGATGAGGAGGGCACAGCAGGGAGTGCGGCGCTCTGTTGCTTCCTGTTCCGGAACTGCTTCATAGCCTCAGCGGTGGTGCCAGGAGCAGCTGTACGGTTAAGTGCAGCCCATGCCTGCTGCATGGGGTTTGCCTGCTTCTGCTGCTGCTTATGCCGTTGCGGCGCCTGCCGCTGCTGCTGCCGCTGCTGCTGCTTGTCTTGCCTGCGTTGCTCTTGCAATCCCTCCTCCCGTACTTCCTCCAGCCGCACCTGCTCCTTGTGCTGAGGCTGCAGCGGCCGCATCTGGTTCCAGTCTCCCCAGTCCCTCTGGGCCTCCTGGGCTGTGTAACCGCCCAGCTCCTTGTTTCTGCACTCCCCCTTCCCTTCCTCCCTTTCCACCACTCTCCCTCCTCCCCTTCCCTCCTTCCTCTCCCGATTCATTCCACCCTTGTCGCCTCCACCACCGCTCCCAACCCCTTCATCCTCCTCAACCTCCTCCACTTCCTCCTCCTCCTCCTCTTCCTCGCCCTCTTCCTCTTCTTCCTTACCCTCCTCTTCCTGCTCCTCTCTCACTCCCTCCACCTCCACCACCTCATCCCCCTCCTCATCCCCCTCACCCGCCTCCTTCCCTCCATCCGAGTCACTCCCTCCCTCGGACTCCGACTCCTCAGCGCTGGACGAGGGCACCACCTCTGACACCCCAAAGAGCCCCAGCAGCCCCCCTGACTGAACCCGCCCGCTCACACCACGCCTGCTCGCCACCTGCACGCCATTCCCCTCTCCTTCGCTGGGACAGGAATTTCGCCCACTGCCCTCTCTCCCACCGCCTCCTCTTACCATTACCCCTCTCACCGTACCCCCACTCACACCACCCCCTCTCACCGCAACCGCTCTCCCAGCACCCCCTCTCCTACCAAACCCTCTTCCACCCCTTCCTGTACTGCCTTGAGCGTTCCATTCTCCACTCCCTTCAGCGCCCCTTTCCCTGAACCCATCCGCCCCCATCTCCACTACATCCTCCACTAACCCCTCAACACCGTTCTGCATCCCCGCATAATCTCTCTGGCCAAGACACTCTTCTCTAAGAACCCCCTCGAGCCCCCCCCGAATCCCCCTCCCCTGGGCCTCTCTCCCTCTTGCCTCGCCCACAGCTGAAGACCTTCGTGCTGCTGCTGGAGGCCCCGTGCTCTCAGCAGCATGCCTCAACCCACCCCATCCACCCCTGCCACCCCTGTCAGGGGCACCTCTGTCACCCATATCACCTCTACCTCTCTCCCCTCCACCTCTATCCTGCGTCACAGTAACACCTCTGCCCGTGGCGTTTCTATCAGCCACGGCAATTCTACCACCGCCGGAAGGAGCGGGAACATCGCCCACCAAGCCCCGCCACAGGTCGTCGATATCCTCCCCGCCGCTTGCGCGGTCGCGAGCAGCGCCGGCAGACCGACGGCTCAGATCGCGCTGCAGCATACCAGCGTCCGAATGAACGGGCCTGAGCTTGTGTGGCTCCCTCTGATCTCCGGGAGGGGAAGAGGCAGCAGCAGCAGCAGCAGCAGCACCACCACCACCACCACCATAGCTCTTGGCACCACCACCAGCAGCAGCAACACCAACCTTCTGAAACCTAGCAAATGGCTCACGGCCACTCCTAGCATCATCAGCAGCACCACCGCCACCAGCACCACCGCCACCACCAGCAGCATCAGCAGCACGTTGCCTGGTGTTGCTGTTGCCACCATCACGGAGAGGCGGTTTGTAACGAGGAAGCAGGGCGGACGCGTGGAGGGCCGAAGGGACGTGACTTGCCGCCGCCGGTGTGCCTAAGGACTCAGACCTGGACTGCAGAGCAGCGCGAATGCGCTGGGATTGGAAGCCTGATGCTGGCGGAAGCTGCCTTGAAGGTTCACCTTGGCCTGAAGAGTGGGTGAAGGGAGAGGGGTGGGCGAGAAGGGGGGGAAAGAGGGATGGGCGGGAAGGGGGTGGGAGGGGGGGGAGAAGGATTTCTATTGAGAATGGTTGGTAGGGATACAAGAGTTCAAAAGCGGGGAAGCAAGATGCAAGCAGCTACCAAAAAGCAGCAAGAGACGCTAAACAGTCGAAAATACACAAATTCGACGAGAACGGATATTGCACACGCACACCAAACCAGACCAATCCCAGACCAGGTGTCTTGAAAAGCTTGTCCTTCGAGCCCAACGCATTCTCAAAGAACAAAGGCCAATTATTCGATCCATGTCTCTCTTACCGCCGACCTCCCGTTCCCGCTTCGTTCCTCGCTTCGCATTCCCCCCCACGCCATTGCAAGTCCACACATCCCGACCGCTCTTAGTGACTCCCGTCTTGGGTACCTCCTCACACTCCTCCTCATCCGCCTCATCCCCCTCTTCCTCCTCCTCCCCCTCCTCCTCCACCTCCTCCTCCACCTCCTCCTCTACCTTACCCTTCCCCTTCCCCTTATCCGACGGTCCTGGCACTCGTTTCGCCGTTCTCTTTCCCGGCGGCTTCTCCTCCCTCCTCGTCTGTCGCGTGTCCTTCACGCCACCACGCCGTTCCGCCACGTCGATCTCATCCGCGTTATTGCCATCCTCGGTATCGTCGTCGTCGTCGTCGTCTAAGCATATCACGTCCGTCGCTAAATTTCGCCGATTCCCGCCGGCCATGTTACCAATCTCGAGGCAAGACCGTGAATTGATAGTCTAAGACTCGGTAGTAGTGCCGTGGAGCACGAGACGCTTCAACGTCCTCTTCCCCGTCGACTCTAAAGTGTACTGTTGTTAACTCGTACCGTAGAGCACGAGACGCTTTTAAGTCGATTTAGAAGTGTAGTGTACTATTCTTCACTCGTAACGTGGGGCACGAGACGCTTCAAGGTCTTCCCTGTCGACTCACCATCAGTATCTTACTGTTTCACTCGAAACAGGTCTTCCCTGTTGAGATGCTTCAACTGCCGAGCATTTGAAGCATCACACCGGATCGATAGCTCGACTGCTCTAGAGCTGCTTGCACACAAAAAAGGATGGCAGTTTTTAGGACAAGAAGTCTAGGAGGCGATGGCACTTCATGGTTGCTAGGTACTGGCATGGCAGTGTGGTATGCGATGTGAGAGCAACTACACTCCTGACAATGACTACATGCCATGCCGTGCCTCTAACGAGGGGTACTGAATTTGAAGGCGGGGAAGCGTAATGGAGCTCCCAATGGGGGTGTGTCTGCAGTCGGCAGATCATTGCTAACGCACATAGAATATTCTTGTGAAGTACACGTCTTTTCAGAAGAACTCTTACAAATGAGAGAAGCTTTTACCACAATGTTACAATATGCTTTACATCACTATTTTACCTATACATCGATAATGAGAACATACATTGTTAATTAGCCCACATTGAATGACACCTTGACCCCGTTGCTGCAATCATCGCCCACATTACTGCTGAAGTAGATGGTTTTGCCATAGTCTTGGCCAGGCACCCTGTACATATAATAGCCATAGTTTCGACCGCGCGCCAATTGTTTAGCGTTAAGGAACGTGCATGCAGAGTAGTCCGCGACATCCACTTTATGCACTGAGTGCCACTCGTTGACCCACTGGAACACTGCAGGCAGGGGCAGGGTGGCAGGGTGGGAGGGCATGTATGGGGCAGAGAACAGGGAGTTACAATACAGCTACCCATGCACCCGAAGTGCACTGTAGTCTGCAACGCCTACTTCATGCACTGAGTGCCACTCGTCGACCCACTGGAACACGGCAGGTAGGCAGGTTGGATTCAGGCGGGAAGATAGAGAGCGAGAAATATCAGGGTACTGTAAGAGTGCAGCTCCTTGCAGTGAATGCAAGAGAGAGAGAGGAGGGGGGGGGAGGGGGGGTTTGAGGTCCTGCACGCAGGAGAGCTGGAACGTGAATTAGGCATTTCTAAGTCCCCCATGCTGCAAGCTACTCACTTCCCCACTCACTGTACCCAAGGCTGGCGTGCTGTAACATGGTAGGGCACGGGCACCTGCTTGCGGCGCTACACACTGCAAACTGGTGAATTCTGGGTCGACACAAAAGGCCAACATGGCACCAAGCATGCGGTGCACCAAGATGCAATACGGTGTGAAGCAGTTAGCACGGGCACGCACGTAGCAGGTCGCCAGGCAGGACTTTCGGCGCCTTCCAGTTCTGGAGCCCATAGCCCCACGGGGACAACCGACTGTTGCCATAGTCGCCCCCCACCCACACCCACATCACCGTCACTCACCGCACTGAGGCGTTTCAATGGCGACACGCACCTAGCAGGTCGCCAGGCAGGACTTTAGGCGCCTTCCAGTTCTGGAGCCCGTAGCCCCACGGGGAGATCCACCTGTTGCCGTTGCCGCCGCCCACCCACACCATTTTCTGTGAGGAGGGCGGGGGGAGGGCGACGGAAGGGGAGAAGAGTACGCAGGAGAGCAGGGTGTGGGTGAAATAAACCTCAAGCCTTGAGCCTCCTTCTAAATATACCTCCCAGCGAGGATGGGGGGTTCGAATGACTTTGGGAAGACAGACTCATGCAAGCCTACACGACTGAGCCGCCAAGAACGCGCGTGAACACGACTGATTAGATCAGCACGCTCGCGAGTGCGACTGATTAGATCAGCACGCGCGTGAGCACGCCAAGTGTTTGCATGTCGCGAGACAAGATGGTCCAGGAGAGAGGCGGGACTTGGCGAAAATAGCGTATCATATAGGCACTATGGAGAAGATAGTTCAAGCCTGCGGTTCCGTCAGCGACTCTCAGCCGCGAGCCTTTACGTGCGAGCCTTCACAGATACTGTGGTTGGGGTCTACCGCAGTACCTGCGCCTCGGCGCCGCCTGAGGTGCGCTCGGAGAGAAAATTGGGCGACGTGCAGCGCGAACGACACGGACGGAAAGACACCGGCGGAGAAACCGGGTCGGCGGAGAGACACCGGCGACGGATGCGTGAAAGTGCAGAGTTTGGCGGATGAAGAGATTGGACGGAAGAGGGAACCACGAGACGGGGGGGGGGATGAAGAAGATGAGAAGCAAATTCAACGGAAATTGAGGGGAGAAGGCAGGAGAGCAAAGGGCAGAAGTCCCCAAAGGGATCAAGATGACAGCACTCTCTACGCCGCGAACTGGCAGAGGAGGTTTCGGCGGGAACGGGGCGAAGTTAACGCAATCGGAGGGAAAGCGTCGGTTGCGGCTTCCGAAGGGAACAACGGAGATCAGTCAAGAGAGCGATTGTTGTCAAGCCATGGCATCCAGCGTAGAGGCAGAAGTGACTCGGCCAACTTGCTTTCGCGGAAAAGCCGATAGATACAGGCTGTTCCCGAATAAAAAAAAAGAGGGAACTAGCGGAAGGAGCGCCGCACGTACCGACGAGGAGGAAGAGGGCGGCAAGAAGGATAAGCGGCGTGGTTGGGCGAGCCATGGCAAGGACTCCTCTGTGAAACGGAGAAGCAGCACCGTGGCGCTTCACAAGCTGTGAAACGGAGAAGAAATGCGCCGTTAGAGGATCTCAGAGGGGGGAACGCAAAGAAAAGCTTCCAATAATCTCAGCACGAGATTCTTCTGAGCGAAAATGCACACGCGAGGGAATAAATAGCTCGATAGCCTAGCAGCCATGGTGGCATCACATGAAACAAGCTTGAGCGACATTGGGCAAAAGGGGGCGCTGCTGTGCTCCACTGCTTCTGCCGCCCGTTTTGCTGCTTCTGTCTGTGGGCGATTCGAAATGACGAATAAGGCCCCCCTAGGGCTGTAATTTGGTGGTTGAACTTCGGCGAAGCGAAACGGAGCCAACTGTCGGGCAGCGTAAGGAATGTTGAAAGGGGTGGGAAGGAGCCACGCATTCATTTGTCGGGCAGCATGTGAAGTGGGTGAAGTAGCCTTTGGTTCCTGAATCCTGCAGCTGCAAAATGTCCGTTTCGCCGACATGAGCTCACGTCATAGATAGTGCCTATGGGGGGGCCAATGGGAACCTGGAGTTCCACCCAGGCCACTTGCTAATAGAGAATTACCCTTAATTTCGAGAAATTAAGAGTAACTTTTCAAGTGATTCCGGTTTTTTACAGTGCAATGTTTTCCAACTTACGGAAACAATTTCGCGGTATTCCTTAGCCTAACAAGTATCTTTTTTATTTCGAGTCCGTACGGGCTATACTTGTAGCAGGGCAATCTGTAGGGGAAATATACTTAGCCTCGCCCCCACCAAACCCCCCCCCCCCTTTCCCCCCGCCTTTGATCACTTGCTAGCCGAATTTGTAGCGGCCGATTCCTTTCGGTAACGGGTTTTTTTTTAAGGAATTCCGTCTGTTAACGGGTAATCCTGAGGCGATTCCGTCCCCTTCCGGAATACCCTGGGGCTTAGCGAGAGGCCTGGTTCCACGTGATACACCAGGCCAGCGCGGCTCGTCGTTTCGTTTGTTCATGCATTTGCATTCGTTTACAGCAACATAGGTGTACAGTAAACGAAAATGTTCCACATCTAGGCTTCTGCGCCGCCAGAAAATGCTCCACATCCAGACAAGGCCTGTGCTTCAATAGAGCTCCTCCGCAGCAAGTTCAAACCACACAGTGAACGAGTCACCATTTCATTTAATCTGATATGAAATGTCTCATTCAACGGTGTACTAACTTGATGCTTTTGGCCCACCGAGCCCAGCTTGAAGTGGGAGTGAGGGGGAACAGTCTCGCGTAAATTCGCCTAGTCCCAAAGTTTCTTCGTAAGTTTTCGCAGAGACGCACGACTTCGTCGTGTTGTTAGGTTTTTGTCCCTGACACCCCTCCTCCAGGTCTCACACTCTGATCAGCAGGCATACTCCTTGGTCTAGCGACTAAGTAGTGATTGTGTCAGCAGCTGGCTTGCTACTGAGCAGTAGTCTTTTCGTCTCTCGCCTCTGACCGCAGCCTGCACGATGAGCGGACCGGGCGAGTTCTTCAGGCGCAACGATGCGTACAGGCACCACCCGCTGCTGAAGAACCAGCTGCGACACGGCCTCCCTGGCCTAGGGATTGCCGTGTCGGCGTTCGCCGTCTACCTGTTCGTTGACGGCATGGCGTCGAAGCTCGGAAGCAAACCGGCTGGACATTGACGGCCGGCATTGCCGCCGGACTTACAGTCCGTTACGAGACTGACGAAGTCTTGAGTAATTTGTAATTTCGGACTCGTTCCTTGAGCACCTTCGAGTGCGGATCTTACTATATCGCGTATGATAGTACAGCCTACTTGTATCGCTGAGAACCCTTTTGTACTTAATCCGTTTTAGCAGCAAAATTGCTCGCGAGTCGCGCGGCATCAAGCTATGGGCGTCCTGATGCTCCCGCAGGCTCGTAGATGTCAGAACCGCCTTCAGATCTAACGGTCGAGAGGCACTCTCTGGCTCGAACCTGCATTTCCTTTCGTCGCATCGTTCCCCTGTTCCTCTCCTAGTATTCCATTCATGTTCCTTTTGATCCCGTCGATCTTGATCGCGGGTGCTTTGCGCTACCATCGCTCATCCTTTTCCAGCTGACCCCGTTCCGTTCCCCCCCCCTGTCATTGTCACCATCATTCAGCCTTTTCCTCTCTCGGGCTTCCTGATCTCCCCCCTGTCTGTCATCGTCTGTCCCTGATTATCTCTACCCTTCTTTTTGAGCGGGAGAAGAGGGGGTTTCTTTCATCTAGAACGGTAGGTGTTCGCTGCTCAGCGTTTGAGTCGACTCAGAAGCTGCTCAGCGTTTGAGTCGACTCAGAAGCTGCTCAGCGTTTGAGTCGACTCAGAAGCTGCTCAGCGTTTGAGTCGACTCAGAAGCTGCTCAGCGTTTGAGTCGACTCAGAAGCTGCTCAGCGTTTGAGTCGACTCAGAAGCTGCTCAGCGTTTGAGTCGACTCAGAAGCTGCTCAGCGTTTGAGTCGACTCAGAAGCTGCTCAGCGTTTGAGTCGACTCAGAAGCTGCTCAGCGTTTGAGTCGACTCAGAAGCTGCTCAGCGTTTGAGTCGACTCAGAAGCTGCTCACCTCCTTCCAGCTCCACGTAGGGCAGTACTCCCAAGTTCTAACGGGCGTTGCTCTCCTTATCCTCTGGGGGGAATTGTTCCCTTGCAGGTATACTGCTGCAACAAGCTGCTCTCTGTATCTTATGTTAAGCAAGCATGCAAGCATTGCTTGAAATAGTGAGACAAACTGCAGTTGTGCTCGCTACAATCCAGCTCAAACCGGAAACGTGGCAAAACACATTAACACCTACAAAACATGGCAGTATCTGGTACAGGCTACAGCACAAACTTGCATCCCTGCATGGCATCACATGACATGGGATGGGAGTCCATGAGCTGGCAAGGACGGAGTAGGGTGTGAGTACAGTGGCCAGGGGGCTGTCCAGACCCTTTCCATCATGCAGTAACCCTTGGAGCAGCCATCACATGGCATCACATGGCATCCATGGGTGACGCAAGGATGAAGGGGGGTGAGTGCATGGCCAGCCCAGGGGGGCGGTCCAGTCAAGTCTAGTCAATTACCTGGTGCAGTACCCCTTGGAACAGCACAATATGGCGTCAGGGTGAAATAGGGTTGGGGGTGCCCGGTGGGCCAGGGGCTGTCTGGTGACAGCAGACACTCAACGTACCCATGTCACTCTCAGTGTAGTTAAACTGGCGGGTCACATGTGGTTTGACATGTAATTTCACATGTGGTTTCACATGGAGTCCATGAGCGAGGCGAGGATGAAGTTGGGCGTGAGGGCGCGGTGCGCCAGGGGCTGCCCTGTGACGGGGGACACTCCGCTGGTTGCGATCCATGTCTCGATGTACTCCCGCTCATACGTGTGCCCGTCTGCCGCCACCACCGGATCCCTCATCTTCTCCTGCACGTGTGAAAAAAGGGAGGAGGGGGAGGGGGAGGTGGGGGAGGAGGGGAGAGGAGGGAAAGTGAGGGACATGAACAAATTCACATGCATGTTGCGAGCCACGTCTCGATGTACTCCCGCTCGTACATGCCCGTCTGCCGCCACCACCGGATCCCTCATCTTCTCCTGCACATGTGGGTAGTGCAGGACAAGATAATCAATGATAAAAGAATACAGGATGGGGAAGAGGAAAGAGAGACACTGGGTGAAAAAGAACAAGAGGGTTGAGGGAAGAAAGAAAGGGAGGGATGGCGAGTGGGGGAGGGAGCAAGGGGGACGCCTACATGCGAGAGTGGCCACACGAATCGGCCATCCAGCTCCTTGGCCTGCCTCGCCCTCTCCTCCACTGCCTCCTCTGCAATCTACCCCAGCAGCGGATGCACCTCTTGAAACACCCCACAAGAGACGAGAGAGCGAGAGAGAGTGACAGAGCAAGAGGCACTTACATGCGAGAGCGGGCACACGAATCGGCCATCCGCTCCTGGGCCCGCCTTGTCCTCTCCTCCATCGCCTCCTCTGCAATCTCCAACAGCAGCAGGTGGACCTCGGGAGTGTGACACACCAAACGAGGCACTCACATGTGACAGAGGGCACACGAATCGGCCGTCCAGCTCCTTGGTCCTCCGATTTCGCTCCTCCATCGCCTCCTCCGCAATCTCCAACAGCAGCGGGTGGATCTCGCTCCCCAGGTCCGGCCGGTTCACCCTTCTCCTCTCGATGCACCGCACTAGAACCCGCGTCGCCCGTCTCGCCAGCCGCTCCGGCCACCGCCCCGCCGACCGATCCAGACTCTTCACCACCATGTCCGTGGCTTGCTCTGTGTCCCGCGCCCCCGTGCCACATGCTGCCAGCAGCCCGTGCACCATCTTCACGTTCTTGAGTCCGGTAAGGAGCTGCAGGGCGATTAATCCAAACGCGTAGATGTCGGATTTGACTGAGAGCTCCCCGGTTTGGATCTCCTCGGGGTCGATGTACCCCGCGGTGCCCCGCACCTTCCAGGTGACTGCCGAGACCTCGTTGGGGATGAGCCTTGCGAGGCCCACGTCGGCGATTTTTGAAATGGCGTTGCCATCCAAAAGGATGTTGTCGGGCTTTAAGTCCCGGTGGAGGATGGGCGGGTCATGCCGGTGCATGTAGAGCAGCGCGCCCGAGATTTCCGATATGATTCGGAGGCGATCGTGCCAGGGGAGGGGGGGAGGGGGGTTGTCTCCGGCTCGAACTATCCTCTCCTGAAGATTCCCCCCCTGGAGGAATTCGTACACGATACAAGCTTCTTCGGGGCAGTGACCCATTAAGAGCACAATGTGCGGGTGCCGCACTTTGCTTAGAACCTCCACTTCAGTTCTGAATTCCGCTGGACCCTGGTCGCTCCCCTGCTCGAGCTTCTTAATGGCTACTAGGCACCCGAATAGCTGGCCCCGAAACACCGGGCCGTACGCGCCCCTTCCGAGAAGGTTCTGGTTGGAAAAGCCGTCGGTTGATTGGAGGAGCTGGTTGAGAGAGAAGCGGCGGCAGTCCGAGGAGGAGGAGTGAGAGGAGGGATCGAGGGAGTCGGAGAGTGAGAGGGCGTGGAGGGAGGAGTGGTGGCTGGGGGGGGGATGGATGGAGGAGGAAGAAGTGATGTTGGGGGAGAGGTCTGTGGGAGTGTGGTTCTGGGAGGGTGAGGGAAGGTTGTGGGAGGAGGGAAGGGGAGGAAGGGGAGGAAGGGATGGGATGGGGAGAAGAAAAGGGGAAAATGGGAAGTAGATAACATTAGACATAAATAAATAATAATAATTTTAAAAAATCGTACAATTTTGGGGGCAGAGATGCTCACAAAAAAAAAAACGCACACGCCAATGCCCATGCCCATGCCCGCCCCCATGCTCAACCCACAACACCCCGCTCTAATGCCCCACCCACCCCGTCTACTGCGTTGCACGCAGCGGCAGCGGTAGCAGCAGCAGCAGTGGCAGCGTTGGCAGAAGCAGAGGCAGCCAGCCGGGCCCTCTCAGTGACCTTGCGGACGAACTCCGTAGAGTCGAAAGAGGAGGTGGAGGAGGAGCTGACAGCATCATCGTCATCATTGCCTGCAACAGGCTGCGAGAGGGGATAGGGGTGGGAATGGGGGGGGGAGGTTGGATGGGGAGTGGGTGGAGGGGGCTGCAAGCCTGGCTCTCCCAGTGACCTTGCAGACAAACTCTGTAGAGTCAAAGGAGGAGGTGAAGTGCTGGAGGCATCATCATCATCACCATCGATATCGCCGGCAATGGGCTGGAGTAGAGGGTTGGAGGGGAGGGGAGGGAAGCGGGGGTTGGATGGGGAGTGGGTAAGTGGAGGAAGATTAACAGTTTGGCTCTCTCTGTGACCTTGCAGACGAACTCTGTAGAGTCAAAGGAGGAGGTGGAGTGGCTGGTGCTGCTATCAGCATTGTCGCCTGCAATCGGCTGGAGTAGAGGACTGGGGGCTGGGGGGGGGCTGGGGGGGGGCTTGAACTGGGCCGGACTGGACTGGACCGGACTGGACTGGACTGGACATACCTCATTGCTGACGGCAGGCGGGGTAGCATTGGAACTCCCACCATCGCCGTGCACTCCTCCTCCTCCTCCTCCCACGCCCGGGTACAAATCCCCGCCCCCTTCTCCCTCCCCCCTCCTCTTCCCCTCCTCCTCCTGCTCCTCACTGCCCCCGTCTTCATCATCCCACACCTCCTCGTACCCTCGCCCTCCACTCCCACTCCCATTCTTCCTACTGGAATTGACCACAGCATGACCCATGGGGCCAGGGCGCCCATGGAGGTGAGTGAAGTCGCTGAGGTCGGTCAGATCTCCTTCTGCTGCCAGCGCGCTGCGAAGCATGTTGCTGCCTGCGTCGTCGCCGCTGCCGCTGCTTGCGTTGTTTTGGCTGCCCGACGAGAGAGGACGGCTGCCCAAGCCTGTGGCGTTGCGGCTGATGGTCTCACTGGTATTCTTGCTGTTGCCGTGACTGTTACTGCGGCTGTGGCTGTGGCTGTGGCCGGAATTAGGGGCGCAGCTGCCGCCAGGGTAGAGGTCTGAACTGGTGGAGAGGGGGTTGCTGGACTCCCCGTCCTGATGGGGCGGAGTGTGGGGAGTAGTAGGGACGGGGCGCAGGGAGACAAAGCGGTGGGGAGAGGGGGCGGGAGAGGGGGCGGGAGAGGGGGCGGGAGAGAGGGCGGGAGAGGCAGGTGAATTCTCAGTCGAGTGACGACTCACAATGGTGGATTGAGGGCTGCTAGCATCCTACTAGTCCGGCTGGTATGGTAAGGGGCATGGGGAAAGAGAGTGGAAAGAGGGAGAGCGGGAGAGTGGGAGAGGGGGAGAGGGGGAGGAAGAGAGAGGTGATTTTGAGTCGGCTAAAACGATGTAGACCTGGACGAGTGACGGTTGCTGCCCACCTCGTCCTGATGGGAGGGGGTGTGGGGTAGACGGGGGGGGGGGAGGAAGAGTAGGAGACAGGGGAGTGTGAAAGAGGAGTACTTTGAAAAAGGAGTTTTTTTGGTGGAAGATGGGAGGGAGGGGGGAGAAAGAGGAAGCAGGATGGCATGCACCCACAGCATGGCACCGCACAGCATGGCACCGCACAGCATGGCACCGCACAGCACGGCACATACCTTGCAGAACTGAGCTTGGGCCGCTGCCTGTTTCGCGAGGGCCTCTTGCCTCAGCTGCTGCAGCTCCCCCAGCAGCATGTCCATGTCCAGCCCACTGCCGCTGCTGCTGCCACCGCTCATGCTCCCCTCTCCCGCTTCCCCTCCTCCCCCGCCTCCCACTCCGCCCTGTCCTCCCACTGCTCCCCCTCCTCCACCTTCCTCCCCCCTCTTTGGCCTTGCAACAATGTCACCACTGCCAAGCAGGCCTCGGCCCCTCCTCTCTCCTCCGCTTGTTTCCGGCCTCCTCACTCCCACCTCTCCCTTTCCCCCTGCTGCCCCATCCCCCTGAATCCAATCCCGCACCAGCCCCCCCCTCCCCGCCCCACCTCCAGCAGGCCCGGCCGAGCCTCCTCGCCGAGCCTGCCGTTGCTGGAGGGCATCTTGGGCAGCCTGTGCCGAGCCTCGGTGCCGCTGATTCGTTCGAACGCCGAACCTGGCAGGCCCAGCAGGCTCGTACTCAGGCCCGGGGAGGAAGAGGAGAGAGCACGGCGCAAGGGAGCCGTCCCTCCCATGCTGCCCACGTCATCCACATAAGCATCCGCATCAGCACCATCATCCGTCCCTCTCCCATAACCTCCTCCTCTCCCTCCCCCCTCTCCTCCTCCCACTCCCCCTCCTCCGCCCCCTCCTCCAATCCACCCGCCAATCCCCTCCCCACTCCCCTTCCTTCGCAGCATGCCCTTACGGAAGCTTCCTCCACCTTTCCCTCCCGCTGCTGAACCTTCCGGTGGCAAGGGGGGGGTCCTGCTACCTCCCCCTCCTCCCCCTCCCCTTTTTCCTGCTGCCCCTTTCCCTGCCCCTGCCATTCCTCCCCCTCCTCGCACATTCTCCGGAAACGAGTCTTCATCACTCAAGCTCAACCTGCCCGGGTCCCAGCTACCTGCCCGGAAATGTTTTGGCACAGTGCGGCGGGGAGCCTGAGCCAGCCTGGCAGCTCCACCTGCCCCAGAATTACCTGCTCCTGCCATTCCCCCTGCTGCCCCCTCTCCTCCCTGTTCTCCCGCCCTGTTTGAAAACATTTCCCACTGCCCTGCCAGTGCCACTACCTGCTCGGCTATATTGGGACGAGATGAGGAGGAGAAGGAAGGGTGGTGAGCCACAGCAGGAGCAGCAGAAGCAGGAGACGGTAGGCCTGGGGGTATGAGGCTTCTGGGGGACTTGGAATCACCACCAGCACCAAAAGCACTGTTCCCTTGCCTAGGAATACCGCCCTCACGACCAGCCGCTTCCCCAGGCGACAGTCTAAACCTCCCACCTCCACCCCCACCTCCTCCCCCCATGACATCCGGGCCAGCCCACGACATGTGCCTGCTGTGCCTGCCCCTTCCCCCCTGACGAGCCTCCATCCCCTGGCTCGGACCAAAACCGCCCGGCAGGTTCGGGCCGAGCCTAGACGACCCGAGCTGCCGAGCCTCTTTCTCCGTCTCTCCCCTGGGCGTCCCCGGCCTCGGCTCACTACTATCGCTATCACCATCATTATAAGCATCTTCCGTTATAAGAACACCGGACCCGGAGGAGGGGTGCGGGGGGATTATGAGACTTGAGAAGTGGAAGGGGAGGGAGGAGGGAGGGGGAGGAGGGGCAGCAAGCCCTGAAACAGCGGCGGCAGCAGCGGTGAGCTGAAACCCTCCAGTGCCGGTTACCGCTGCTCCTGCTCCTGCCACTGCTGCTGCCTGCTGCCTGCGCTCCCTGCTGAGTGTGCGAGAGATAGATCGTCTGGGTGCGGACAAGGAGGAGGAAGAGCAGAGGGTAGGCGAGGCGGGAGGAGGGCCGCCCATGCCATGGCTTCCACCGCTGCCAGCAGCAGCACTCCAAGTTCCGCCTGCTGCTGCCGCTCCTTCCAGCTCGCCTCCCGCCCCCGAGGATCTTCGGCAAGGGGTGGTTCGGGAGCGCATGACAAGCCCGGGAGAGGGCAACTCCCCATCCTCCCCATGCTCCCCTTCATACTCCGCTTCCTCCATTTCCGAGCCTCGTCCCGAGCCTCGGGGAGGTCTGGGAGGAGGTTTGGAGCCTCTGGTGTGGTTCGGGTCGTCGGAGTCTTCGGCTGGTCCGGACGCCGAGCCTGCGACCGAAGCTACACGCCTTCCTGGACCTAGGAGGTTGAGGTGGTAGGGAAGTCGGCGGTGGTCCGAGCCTCCGCTGCTGGTTCGGACAGGGCAGGGTTGGTCGGGTAGGGTTTCATCTTCTGATTCGGAAAAGCTGCTGCTGTGCTTGCGTGACATGCGCCGAAAAACACGACCCATACTACCGCCACCACCACCACCGTACCCGCTGCCACCACCGCTACCAGCACCAGCAGCACCACCCCCGCCGCTGCTGCTGTTCCCAGGGCTGCCCGTGCTGCTGCTGCCGCTGAGGGGAAACATACCTCCGATGCTCCTGCTCCTCATGTGCCGAGTGACACCCATCGCACCACCACTCCCCCCCCCTCCCCCCCCTCCCCCTGCTCTTCCCCCACTTCTTTCTGCACTGCCGCTGCCCCCGCCGCCACCAATGCTGCTGCTGCTGTGCATGGTGGGTCGCATCCTGCGGTTCCTGAGCTCGTTGCCCACGCTGATGCTGCGCTTCAGCTCCATCTCCGACTCGTCCTCCTCCTCCTCTGGCGAATGTGCTTCCAACAGCTGCTGCTGCTTCTGCTGCTGCTGCTGCCGTTTGTCAAGGTATTCATCCGATCTTCGACGCCCACCAGCAGCAGCAACTCCCGCACCACTTCCACCACCACTGCCAAAGCTAGCACTGCCGTGGCTGCTGGAGTGGCCTGTACCCGCTATAAGCTCCTTGACTCGCCTGCCGGCCTGTGTGAGCACGAGGTGGCAGCCCTCTGGCAGATGCGCCTCGCAGAAATGAACCACGGACGAGTCTCCTCCCCACAGAAGCTTCCTGGAAGGAGAGGAAGAGGGGGAGAGATCGTGCAGAAGAGAGGAAGGGGGGGGGGGGTGGGGGAAGAGGGGGGCAGGAGAGGGCGGGTGGGGGGGAGGAGAGGGGTAGGGGGGAGGGGATTGAGAGGAGAGAGAACGAGAGACAAGACGAGACAAAGGTGTCATGTAGCAAGACAATAGGGCAAGAGCAAGAGTAGGCGAAGGGGCAGTATTCAGTATGCAGAGGCAAGGGCGGGCAGGCACGTTGCCTGGAGCAAAGGCGCGTCACCGTCTACCATTCTAAGACGGCTGTCTGTTTCACAAGATGATGGGCAAGCTCAAGTTGACTACCGCCTTCTTCCCTCACCTCTTCTTTTCAAGCTGCCCCTCCTCTCATATTTTGACGTTAAGCTGCCCCTCCTTTCATCTTTTGACGTTAAGCTGCCCCTCCTTTCATTCCTTGACGTTAAGCTGCCCCTCCTCCCACCTCTAAACGTTAAGCTGCCCCCTCTCTCACCTCTTGACCCCAATGTACAGCCTCTGCACCTGCAGACACGCCACTGGGATCGGCGCCTGCACACAGACCCGTTGTAAGGTGTGTGATACCCACCCTCTTTCACCTCTTGGCCACCCTCCCTCACCGCTTGACCGCCCTCTTTCACCTCTTGGCCACGCTCCCTCACCGCTTGACCGCCCTCTTTCACCTCTTGACCACCCTCTCTCACCTCTTGACCACCCTCTCTCACCTCTTGACCACCCTCTCTCACCTTTTGACCACCCTCTCTCACCTCTTGACGCCGATATAAAGCCGCTGTGCCTGCAAGCACGCCACTGCCGCGCAGAGACCCGCCTCCCGCGACTCACTGTGCTCCATGTGCGCCTCCGCTGCCACCTGGGGGGGAAGGGGAGGGAAGTGGGGAAGGGAGTGATGGGGGGAGAGAGGATGAGGGAAGGGGGGGGAGAGAGGATGAGGGAAGGGGGGGGAGAGAGGATGAGGGAAGGGGGGGGAGAGAGGATGAGGGAAGGGGGGGAAGGAGGGGGAGGGAGTGATGGGGGGGGAGAGGAGGCGGGAAGGGGTGGGTGGCGGAGCGCAGTGCAGGGAGGCAAGGCAATGATGAGACGCCTCAAGCAGCCTCGCCCCGCCACTCAAAAGATGAGACGTCTCAAGCAGCCTTTGAGTCGACTCAAAAGATGAGACGCCTCAAGCAGCCTCGTCCCGCCACTCACTGTGCTGCAGGTGAGCCTCTGGTGCTTCCTGGGAAGGGGGTGGCGCGGGGGGGCGGAGAGGGATGGGAGGGAAAGAAGGCCAGCAGGGCTGAGGAAGGGAGGGAGGGGCGTGTAGCAGGGCCGTGCACAGACCGCCTCCGCCTCCCGCGACTCACTGTGCTCCACGCTAGGTTTAAAAAAACGGCGTTTTTTTCAGATTTAGACCGTTTGCTACGGTACCGTATTTTTTCAGTCGTCTTAAACGGTTTAAAACGGTTCTGAAAGTTAGCTTTTTTTGTTGTTGAAAAAAACGGTCGTTTTATATGGTCGAATTTTTAAAACCGTGGGTGTACAGCAGCACTTCGAATTTGATACCGAATTCGGACGGTTGGGTGTACACCCAACCGTCCGCGAATGTTCAGGAGGGGTTGGGGGGGGGTCGGCGGAGGAGGAGGAGGACGACGAGGAGGAAGAGAAGGAAGAGGAGGAGGAGGCCGAGGAGGAGGACAAGGAGGATTCGGGGGAGGAGGAGGAGGAGGAGGAGGAGGAGGAGGAGGAGGAGGAGGAGGAGGAGGAGGAGGAGGAGGAGGAGGAGGAGGAGGGAGGAGGAGGAGGAGGAGGAGACGACGAGGAGGACGAGGAGGACGAGGAGGACGAGGAGGACGAGGAGGACGAGGAGGACGAGGACGAGGAGGAGGAGGAGGACGAGGAAGAGGAGGAGGACGATGTGTAGGAGGAGGAGGAGGAGGGGTAGGAGGAGGGGTAGGTGGATGAGGAGGAGGATGGGTAGGAGGTAGTGTAGGGGGGAAATAAGTAGTAGGAGGAATATGCGGCAGATTCGAGCTTTGGCGGGCCTATTTAGTTCAGTTAGGACCCCTACTATGCATGCCATAGCCACCAATAGTCGTCTATTTTGTCCCCTTCTGTCCCTGGTTTTTTTTTTTCTTTTTTTTTTTTTTTTTGAATTTTGGAAAAAAAAACTTTATTAAAAAAACGGCGTTTTTGTATTAAAAAAAAACCGTTTCAAACGACCGAAAAAAACGAACGAAAAAAACGGCCTGCCGTTTTTTTTCAACCTTGGCTCCACGTGCGCCTCTGCTGCTACCTTGGGGAAGTACGACCTGGAGGGGGAGGTCGGTGGGGTGGGAAAGGGGGGAGGGGGGAAGGGGGGGGGGGGGAGGGGAAGGGGGGGTGGGGAGGGGATAAAAAGGCAATGAGTGACTTGAGCAGCGCTGAATGACGTCACCATTAGCTTCGCCAGCTGACCCGCAGCGCCGCTCTATGTGCGCCTTTACACGCACAATCATGCAGGGCCGTTGGGGTTACTTAATATCACCGTTTGAAGAAGGAAGTTTCGTTTGAAAGAAAGGATGGCTGCGATTGCGTTCGGATCAGATCTCTTGTGACGCGTGATCTACTACGGTTGTACCCCCTAAAAGCCCCATCCCCCCCTCCCCCGTTCCCCCCTTTCTCCCAGTTCGCCTGTCTCGCGCGCTCGCCTTCCTGCTCTCTGCAATGGCCTGCATCGGCCACATCACGCTGCACAGAATCAAGTCTTCTCTGACGCATGAATAATACTACTACCATCAACCCCAACCCACGCCATCCAAACCCCCCTCACAACCCAACCCCCCCCTCCTCCTTCCCCCCTCAGCCCCAAGTCACCTGTCTCCCGCGCTCACCTTTCTGCTCACCGAAATTGCCTGCATCGGCCGCATAACTCCACAGAAGCAGAATTCCATGACGCAAGACAGGAGCCTCGCTTTGAGGCGCCTCAAAACTATTCTATAAACGCCCCCCTCCCTACGCACCCCCTCCCCCCCTTCTCGCATCCTTCCCCCCCCCTTCTCCCCTTTCTCCCCCTCCCCCTTCCGCCTTCCCGATTGTACGACTCCCGCGCTCACCTTTCTGCTCTCCGCAATAACCTGTAGGTGACTTTTGAGTCGACTCAAAAATAACCTGCATCGGCAGAAATACGCTGCGCAGAATCGAGCCCTATCCCCCGATTACTGCTGCTATCACTCCCTTCCGCGTGTCACAACCACACCGCGCTCACCTTTCTGCTCTCTGCGATGGCCTGCATGGGCCGCATGCCGCTGCGCAGACTCAGGTCCTCCGTCGCGCACGCTACTACTACAGCAGCTATCAGCACACTTCCCCCGACCCCCGGCCCTAACTCGTCTCGCTCGCGCGCTCACCTTTCTGCTCTCTGCGATGGCCTGCATCGGCCGCATCACGCTGCGCAGAATCAAATCTTCCGTCGCGCCGTGCCGCGATCGCTCCTTGCGCGCCGATGCCGCTGCCGAGGGGAATTGGAGGGACGGTCAGCAGGGACGGCGGACGGGGACGGGATGGCGGAAGGAAGCGAGGAGAAGCGAGGGGTGTGGGAGGCAGGAAACAATGAGTCGACCCCACAGAGAACCGGTACCGATAGTAGCAAGCCGATGCGGAAATAAGAGTCAAGAATGGGATGGGGAGGCGTAGGTTGCAAGACAAACCCTAGGCTTCACAGAAAGCTGGAGTTGCGGAGCACAGCAACGGTTCCATTCTGAAAGAAGGACGGAGACTCACGCAGAGAAGGCTGAAACCATGGCGTAAGAAGGAGAGACATTCTAAAGAGAAATTCTAAAAGAGAAATTCTAATAGTGCGGAATGGCCCGCTCACGTTTGGATCCGTCTGTATCGATAACGACGGAAACGAGCACGATGACAGGCGTCTCGCCGTCATTGGCTCGCTGGAATCTGTCCACGTCAGCCAGGGCGACGCTGAGCGTGCTGCGACTGCTCTCGTGGTCCGGCGACACCTCCAGCAGCCACAGCGGCGTCGCACAGTCGTCGTCCGTGCGACGCTGATCGCCAGCCCGGGGTACCATGTCGACGTTGGGTCGATCGCGGCTTAACGCCGCTAACATCGGGAACGAGACGGCAACGCGGGAGCAAAACGGCAATTCTTGGAGTCAGAGGAAGCCTTGCACGTGCGAAGCAGGAAGTGTGGTCGGCGAGGATAATTTCTACATGCGGGGAAGCAAGGAAAGAAACGAATTCAGTGAGACTAGGACAACCTTTGAAGAGCAACTGCTGGTCGCATATACAACTGCTAGTTGCAGTCACGTCGCGTGAAGGCACTCCATGTCGATAATGCGAGCGAGCGAAACCCAGACGTGCCTACAGGCTTCGTTTGTTCGCCATGAATAATAATTATGAGCGGAGGAGCGACCTACGCAGGAGTCAGCAACAACTAGCTTACAGCTGTAGGAGACGAGCGGCCATCGACCAAACAAAATCAACAGCGATTGGTGAATTGCATCTCTCCACCGTAGATTTCCTCGGAATTGCCGTGCTTGGGGATTTTGGTTCGGTCCTGGCGGGTGTACGGTACAGTAACCAAACAGGGTGTGTAGTTCTTGAGAGTACTCGTGCGATTGTGAAAGTTGTACCTTTTTTTCCATTTTCCCATTTTATGTAGCTGTTGGGCCCGGAGGATTTGGGGAGTTAAATTGGTGGTGTGCACTGTAACAAACCAATGTTGGTGGGTGAAAATGTTCCGGGCAGCACGTCGGGCCCCTCGAATAAAATGTTGGTGGCCAATGGACTTCCGTTGGCAGCCAACAAAAAACGACACGAGCCCAACTTCCATCGAAGCTGCGGTGCGAAGCGAAGCAAGCGAGAGCCCCGCCCCTGGCTCTTTGCTGCACAGACAGGTGAGCGAAGCGCGACCTGTGGCACCCTGCCCGAGTGCTGCCTTGGCCCTGGATCTCTTCGCCTTCCTCCTCCACTCATTCACTGCCCCGCAGATCTCATTTGCTTCGCTGGGAGCCCTCCTTACAAGAAGGCAGTGTACCAATAACGGCCTTATATTACATTCCTTGAATTATCCACAACACCCTCAACATGCAATAAGGACATCCATAACTTGGTGGATCTTTCAAACCAAGCAACACACCCTGACTTTGTTCAGCTATTCCCCTATAAGCCTCACCCTATAACCAAGATAGACGTACACACCTGACACTCAGCTACAGCATTTGCTGTCCCATCTCTTACAAAATGAGAAGTACAAGGAGATACAGGGGGTCATACATGTCATATTCCCGTAGTGTAAACTCCAAGAATTTTGGAAGGAGGTTTCAAACATATTTTGTCAATGTATTATACGCTAGATATGTGTGTACTCTTAGACAGTACAACTCCTTGGACACAACCAACATGTTTGCATCATTCGAGTCATTCATTCTCATTCGAATATGGTATCAGGTTAGGTCAGGTTTAACACATATATATAGGTCTATACACAATCAAGGCCCTAGCAAGTGAGAGGCAACAGGAACAAGACCTAGCTGCACACAGTGCGCTGATGACTTTAGGCGCAAGCGCCTTCGTAAAGATATCAGCTGTGTTGGCACCGGAGGTCAAGCGTACTACGCGAGCCTGGCGAAGCTGCTGCAGCTCGTGCTGGAGGAAGTACCACAACTGGATGTGATTCGCTCTGCCCTCAAATCGAGGCTCTTGACACAGAAGGATCATGACCCTGTTGTCAGCATACAGGACTGGGGCAGAGCTAGGTCGCTCACCTAAGTCGGTGAGCAAGAAGGTCAGCCAACGAAGCTCCTGTGCCGCCATGGCACCAGCGTAGACCTCGGCCTCACAACTGGACTGGGCAACAGACGAGGCGCGAGTAGCTCGCCACGAGACAGCACCTGAACCAAGGCTAAAGCAGTAGCCATGCGAGGACCTAAGGGTTTCGGCGTCGTCTGCCCACGAAGCGTCTGTGTGCCCAGCAAGGACCACTGGCCTGCGCCCTCCTAGCACTAACCCCACGCCTGATATACTTGCAAGATAGCGCAAAACCCTCTTAGCAGCAGACCAGTGCTGAGGTCGGTGTCTGCCTGTGGCCACAAAGCTAGCCAAGATGCTGAGAGGGTATGCAAAATCTGGGCGAGTGCAAGTCATCAGGTACATGAGGCAACCCACCAGCTTTGCGTAAGGACCACTGGGCTCTACCGACTCCTTAGGAACTGGAGCGGAGAGCCCGTGGTCTACTGGCAGAGGGGTGGGCTGTGCAGAGGAGAACTGAAGGCCGAACCTCTGAAGGACCTAGCGCACCAAGTGTGACTGAGTCAAAGTGATGGTGCGGGCTGCTCTGTCCCTGGAGATCTGCAAGCCAAGGTAGTGGCGCAGTTCTCCTAGGTCAGTGCACGTGTGTTTCTTCAGTAGCTCTGCCTTCACCGAGGCCAGTGCGTCCCTGTCGGCAGTGGCGAAGACCAGATCGTCTACGTAAACAAGGATGTAGAACGGAGTCTGGCCAGCACGAACGAAGAGGAAGGGGTCTGCAGAGGACGGAAAGAACTGCAGGTCAGCAAGGGTAGCACGGGGAGCCTGCCGTAGGCCGTAGACGGGGCGCTGCAGGAGCCACTGAGTCCCAGGAGGAAAGGTACCACTGAAAGACTCACGGGGAGCCTGCCGTAGGCCATAGACGGGGCGCTGCAGGAGCCACTAGTCCCAGGAGGAAAGGTACCACTGAAACACTAAGGGTGGCGCAGGTAGACCTGCTCGTGTAGGCTGCCCTGAAGAAACACAGTGGAGAAGTCGAGGGAGTGCAGCTCGTAGTCACGCTGAGCTGCTACGTGTAGTAGCACCCGAAGAGTAGTCATCTTCGGGGTCGGAGCGAAAGTCTGAAAGAAGTCCACCCCTTGACGCTGACTAAAGCCTCTAGCCACGTAGCGCGCCTTGAACACAGGCGGCTCTCCAGGGGGGCGCATCACCTTGAAGAGCCACCGACTATCGACTACGTTCACCCCAGGTGGGGGAACTGCGTCGACGTAGGTGCCGGTGGATCTCCAAGATGCCATCTCCTGCTCCATGGCAGCTATCCACTGAGAGGCCCAAGGTCCCGAAACCGCCTCAGCGTAAGTGCGAGGGGTCGGGATGTCGAAAGCGTCTGGGTCACCCTCAGGGACTAGCAGCATGGAACAGAGATGGGGAGCAGCCTCGGACAGAAAAGTAAGCTCATACTGGCGGTCCTCCACGACATCACTACCGAGGGCAGGAGCACCCCGACAGACGGAGGACTGGCAAGGTCAGAGACCAGAGCGCTGGCGTAGTCAAGGCGGTGGGTAGAGGCAAAGTCAGCGACCGCAGCGACAGGGGCGTCAAGACACGAGACCGGAACAAATAGGTCGGTAACGAGAGAGGCAAGGACCCGAGGAACAAGAGGACGAGCGGCGCGAAGGTAGTCAGACAGAGGGGGAGGCGCAACAACAAGAGAGGACGGAGGAGACGACGGTAGGAGGGTAGGACAAGACGCGTGGGAACGAAGTAACATAGGGTGAGAGCGCGGGACAGGGGAGACGGGGCGAGCACAGGAGAGACGGCGAGACCAGACGTGAGACGGAGGAGTCGGGTCAGGAGACAGAGGAGGGGACACAGGAGGGGAACGAGGGGGAAGACGAGCCGAGTCGAGTCCAGGGATGAGAACATAGGGTCGTAGACAGGGAAGAGGAGGAAACTGCACGCGAGGCGGAGACGCAGGGTCAAGGGACGGAAGGCCAAGCAGGCGAAGGGCGTACACCGGCGGCAACTGCTGCTGCGGCGGCACGACACCGACACCGGGACCGCAAGCTGCTCCACGGCTACCTCCGGAACACTCCACTCCAGCACCCCCAGAAGGAACACCCCCAGAGCCCGAAACCCCTCGAGCACCGGTACCACCCCAGGCCCGCCGGGACAAGCGACGACAGGAATCCCAGGACGGGTACCCACCCCAACGCTAGCACCCCCAGAGTCAACGAACTGCTGCGGCGACGGCTGCAACGGCGGCGGCGGCTGCGGCGGCGGCAGCGACGGTGGCTGCGACAGCGGTGGCGATGGTAGCCCCGAAGGCAGCGGAGGAGGAGACACCTGGGGAGGGGCACGTGACGAGGACTGCGTCGCAGGACCACCAGAGTCAGCAGAATCCTCGACCGGGACAACCGACGTGAGGGGGGTGACGTGGGACACACCAGACGGTGCAGGACGGGGAGGGGAGGGGGGGGGACAGGGGCGACCGGGGAAGGGGTGACCAAGAACAGGGGGGAGTAACCGGGGGACCTGTGTGGGGAAGCGGTGGTATAAGGAGACAGACTCGTCAAAGGTGACGTCACGGAAGTGAAAGAACCTGTGAGACGGCAGGTGGTAGAAGTGCCAGTCGGGCGCGTCAAGGGGGAAACAGAGGAAGACACAAGGGAGGGCACGAACGTGAGCAAGGCAACCCCAGACGTGGAACGCAGACGCGTCACCAAGAGACCCGGACCAAAGAAGGGTCGGCGAAACCCGCGGCTGCTGGGGGTGCGGCCACAGTTAAGCTGGTGAGCGGCGTAGCGAACGACGAACGGCCACAGAAAATGGGGTGCACCGGCATGGATCATGGAGGTGCGAGCCATCTCCATGACCAAACCAATGCGTCGCTCAACGACCCCATTCTGCTGCGGGGAATACGGCAAGGTGAACATCTGGGTGATGCCCTTAGCACGACAGAAACGATCAAGGACACCAGAGGCAAACTCGCCACCACGGTCGGAGTGGAGACGCAAGACAGGGAGACCGCGGTGGACACGTGCAGAGACAAGCC